ATTAAAAAAGAACATGACCATGCTCGGCCGTGTTCGGCGGCGACAGTGCGACGACGACCCCACCCTGCAAACACGCCGGCCCACGTCGACATCAAGGAGCCAGGATTTTTACAAGGCCCTTATGGTAGAATCTCAGCGCTTGCGCCTCGAGTAAGCCACTTCTCTCCGCTTATATTTTCTATTCCTCAATGCTATACTTTCCAGGGATGAGTTTTTCGACATCAGCGAAAACACCATACTGGACTCACAGCTGCACACCGTGCACTTTGAAGAGATCACATTCGCTATCTTCACCAAGCTTGATCAACGTGAGTTTCCTTTCATTTCTTCTCTACCATTGCTAACGACATTATCTGACTAGTCCCATCAATTATTAAGGCGCACTTTAGCTGGACTTGGCAGTGCACCACTCTCAACCGTGGCGACGAGCTCATCAATTTGTTGCTCAGCTGCCTTCAACCTCATTCCCTGCTTGTCCCTAATTACACAACACCTGATGGGCAACACTGCGGTGTTGGTAAATATTACTTTGGTGTACTTTCCCTTTATCATGAGACAAAGGTTTCGAAGCCAGGAGTCTGTAGTTTACTTGTATTGTTTGTGTTATATCTTGCTGAGACGAGCACAACAGAAGCAGGAACCGGACTACAACTTTGTGCTGCCGCACCGCAATCCACTCTGTTGCTCTGTTGGAGCACTCGCGATCCTTTTGCATTATGTATTTGACCAGGAGAACCTGTGCGAGAAGATTGAGGATTGGAACTGGTCTTACCCGTTGACCTGGCGCAAGGCAAGTCCACCTTCACCCGAAATCTATCTTTCTCCTTACTGAACCAAACTATCAGGTAAAGCTTATGTTTGGAAAAACAGTGGGCAAGGCCTGTGGTGATGATGCCCTCCGAAAAATGTACACAAAATTCCTCGAATCGACATCCATCAAATCAAAAAAGAAGCTCCATCTCGCGCGCAAGACTATCCCTACCCACCTTGAAGAGATGGGGTATGTCATGACTTGTTTGTGGGCCAGCCACCGCTCATCCTTTTCAGTGTTACAATGGATGAAATTGGTGCGATCGGACACTGGGCAAGCACTGTTCAACGTGAGGTTTATTCTGCGAAGATTCCAAAGTCTGTAAGTTTTTTTCAGTGCAATTGTTCCTCAAGTGAAACTGATTGAGTCATTAGGCAGTTACGGCATTGGCAGGGTTCTACGTTGGGGAGGCTTACCATGTTCCCTGGGCCACCGTTGCTGTTCCTGATGAGCTCCAAACCCAATTGTTCCCTTTTGCAGAGAGGGTGCTTGTTGAGCTCAAAGGGAAGGCACGCGTCAACCAGGGCTTGGTCAATTTTGTTGAGCTGTTGCAACAGCTTCGCCCTTTCTTCTGGCGGGTGTGTCTACATCTCATCACTCCACTTAGTTTTTCTAATTCTCACTGTCTCAATTTTTGCCAGGCTAGTGCTGCCATCCACGAAAATTTTCCTGACTCACCGCTATTTAGTCGCATGCCCGTTTTTAAGTCGTCCCTGGCTTCCGAGTTCATTTCACAATGGCCTCATGCTCGGAAAGAAGTCGAGGCCCAGTTTCAGGTAGATACCGAGATCGCAGCAAACTTCAAGGAGGTCGCAACACAGAGCGCCTTCCTCTCCCTTTCAACATCACAGAGAGAGCTGTCGGAAACTGTCAAGTTATCCCACTCATTGCTCGAGGTTCTTGCACATCGAACTGAGCCGCTCTCTCCATCACGTAGTGTAAAAACTCATGTGGCCATTGTTAGCTCTCGCTCAGCTACCCCCAGCCCAACAGGGCCACACTCCAACTTTTCGTCGCCGCAGCCTCCCTCTATTCAGACTATGGTGGCAAGTGTGAGTACACCGCTCCAGGCTGCCACTGCAGCCAGCCCAAGTCAAATCTCACCAACCTTGCCACTGCCAAAATCCCAAAGTATCATGCTACTGCCTCCCGTAGTTGATCCAGAAGTGCTTTCCACTCAATCACGATATGTAGTGTCTGTGAACCATAAAGGCAGTAAGTATCATGTGTTACGGCTCTCGCCTGGTCCCTTGGCGCCACCCACACCCTTCGACATTATACTGCCCCCAGCAGCAGCATTTGCATCTGACCAGACTACCGTGACTGCTTACCCCGGCTTTTCTGCATCATCATGTGGATGGCAGGCTCTGTTCAGTGTTGTTGTCCATCCCGATTTTCTTTGGGATTGTTGGGGCCCAGGCAATTTGGGTGAATTTCCTGATGTCGGCTCTCTTTGGAAGTGCTGGGATGAGGGCACGGCTATTGAAGGGGTTGGTCGCAAGCCTCCACTGCGGATGGTGGAGACTGAATGGGGCTCTCGCAAGGACAAGCGGTCAAACAAGGGGCACCATGCTGCATGGCGTCCTCGCCAAAACACCACTGTATGTCTTTTTTCACATTGTTCACCTCTCAACGCAACATTAATCTGCCTCTTCAGGCCCGTCAAAAATGGTCTCAATTTCAGTTTTTCATCAGTCGGATAGAGACCTCCATTAGCACTGGGCTTACGGCCTCACAAGCTGTCCAAGTTCTTGAAGATACACGTCTTACGCTATCAATGCCGCAGCTTCATCGCAAACTCCAAACAAAGCGGCAGAAGAAGGGCAAGGTAAATGGCCCTTCCCCAGAGTCTAGTGCTCCCTCCTCTGGGAACATCATCATGGCCACTTAAAGATTAGTTATGCGTTCATTGTATCATTAACTTCTTTTCTTTGTCTTTTCTTATTTCTTCAATTTTTTTTGTCAAGTAATGTTGAACCTCTCATCCACTGTAGCATACAAACATCTTCAAGAATCATCTCTATTGCGTCGTCTTATAATTGTTCCCAGTTACTTGGTCTTACACAGATTACTCAGCCACGTTAGTAATATGTACCATACTTCTCTACAAAACTGAATGCTAAAGCTGAACAAGGGTGTGCCACATTTCATTAATTTGGCAGATCACTCCTGAAGCAATTTCTGTTATATTGAGCCCAAGAACATAAAATACAAGTGAGAACTTCCATGTGAACCACAATTTCCAGCAAGGGACCTTATTTCCCCACAGAATCAAACACCTGGTTTAAACGGCTGAGTGCCATGGTCTCGTAAACCCGGGAGGTTGCTCCTGAAGCAATTTCCGTCGAATAGAGCCCGAGAACGTAAAAATTGGGCAAGAACTTACATGTTAACAACAATTTCTGGTAATGGACCTTATTGCTTTGCAGAACCAAACACTGAATTTGAACGGTTGGGCGCCATGTTTCGCAAACTTGGGAGGTTGTTTCTGAGGCAATTTCGGTCAAGTAGAGCCCAAGAATGTAAAAATCGAGCAAGAACTTACCTGTAAGCCTCAATTTATGGTAAGAGACCTTATTTTCCGCAAAACCGAACACCGTCTTTGAACGGTGAGGCGCTACGTTTCGCAAACTCGGGAGGTTGCTCCTGAAGCAATTTCGGTCAAGTAGAGCCCAAGAACGTAAAAATTGAGGAAGAACTTACATGTAAGCCTCAATTTCTGGTAATAGACCTTATTGCTTTGCAGAACCAAACGCCGAATTTGAACGGTTGGGCGGTATGTTTCGCAAACTTGGGAGGTTGTTTCTGAAGCAATTTCGGTCAATTAGAGCCCAAGAATGTAAAAATCGAGCAAGAACTTACCTGTAAGCCTCAATTTATGGTAAGAGACCTTATTTCTCCGCAAAACCGAACACCGACTTTGAACGGCTAGGCGCTATGTTTCGAAAACTCGGGAGGTTGTTCCTGAAGCAATTTCGGTCAAGTAGAGCCCAAGAACGTAAAAATCGAGCAAGAACTTACCTGCAAGTCTCAATTTCTGGTAATAGACCTTATTTCTCCGCAAAATCGAACGCCGACTTTGAACGGCTAGGCGCTATGTTTCGAAAACTCGGGAGGTGGTTCCTGGAGCAGTTTCGGTCAAGTAGAGCCTAAGAATGTAAAAATCGAGCATGAACTTACTTTGCTAGCTCAATTTCTGCTTATGGGCATGGTTTCACCACAAAACCGAATGCCAAAATTGAACGGATGGGCGTTCCATTTCGTAAACTCGGGAGGCGCTCCCTGTAGTAGTCAGCATCAAGTAAAGCCCAAGCTCATAAAATTCGAGCCAGAACTCACAGAGTAAATTTTGTAGGTCTTCCGGGAGGTGGGCTTGCCAAACCTTGATGCTGGAAATAACTTGTGAGCCGAGTGGAAGTGAAGTTCATTTATTTAAATAAAAATAACGAGGCTTCTACCTGGTAATCTATTTTACAAGGTAAGGGAGAGGAGAGCTAAGTACGAGCGGCCGCAACGGAAAGGGTATGAGGCACGAGAGAAAACAGTCAGGGTCCAGGACAAGTGTTGGGTGGGAGGTGTGATTCCAGGACAAGTCGGGTCTCCCACCCGCCAAAAAGTGTGATCCAAACTGTGATTTGGCGGGTCCGTTTTGTGACTTGTCCTGGAAACTAGAGGCTGACACTTAGCAGCGGCAGCAGGCACCTTGCTTGCTGACAAATACGCTGCTTTGCACCAATACAATGTGACTTTTTTTTCGTAACAAAGGAAACAGTGTTCAAGAGCTATAGTGCTACATAGTTATGTATATAAACATTGGAGGCACTAAGAAAGAGACGATGATATCATGTTTTGAAAAGACCAGTTGTTTGCACCGGTTTGCTCGCTCGCGTGCGCCATATGCAAGAAAAGAGCCCCATGGCCCGTAGAAAGTTTGTTTGTTCATGCTTGCCCGCTCGCGTGCGTGATATGCAAGAAAAGACCCCCATGGCCCCTGGGTAGTTTGTTTGTACCTGTTTGGTATTTATGACCTTGGGAGACCTTGACAAGCAAGGTGAAAAGTGTGATTTGGCGTGGGACGTGCTGCAAAAAGTGTGATTTGGTGTGATTTGCGGGACAAGTGTTGGCGCGGGCAAGCGTGATCTGGGTGTGATTCGAACTCCGAAATCACAACACTTGGCCTGAGACCATCATGATCGCTGACCGACTGCGGGCTTTGCCACAAGATACTGGCTTGGCCGTCACGACCTCTAAGCGTTTTTCGCCCGATGTATCAAGTCTTCCACCAGCTCCACCCATCTGACTATTGTCCCCTACTCGACTGCCAGCCAGTCTTACATTAGTTCCTTCCACGCCGATATCAACCTTTGGACCACCTTCACCTTCTTCGTCACATGCGTCGTCTCCACGACTAAACAACTTTGACCTCACCAGCTTTACACTGACATTTCCCTCCATTGACGAGCTTGATGAACTTCCGGGGTTTAATACACCCTCCGTGCCAAATACGGCAATCTCAGCATCTAACGGACCGAAGACACCAATCCCAAAGACAAACATGGCGTTTCCAGTGGAGCTTCTCTCGTATATTCAAGAGCACAATGTTCTCCTTATCGACGTTCGGAACAGTTTATACTTATGCGGGAAGGGTACGTATACGCTTTTCACCTGGTACATTGATTAAAGTTTTTCAACAGGGTGAACTCTATCATGCTTGACGATGCAATGGTATTTGCGCATCCACATGAAGCTAGCCTTTTCGGTAACCGTGACAAGTTTGATCTGGTCGTGGTGTACGACGGTTCTTCTGAGTCCTTTGGTGCTGCAAACATGCCTCTCTCAGTTCTCATCCGTGTTATCAGTGAACAAGCCTTTCGGAAAGCGCTCACGAGGATGCCCATGATGCTCGTTGGCGGACTTGAAGCCTGCAAGCGGGAAATAGGGAACACCAAGCTACGCGGCGAATTATCGTACGCGGAAGGAAAACGGCCGATACCCACCACGGACGTCTCTAACTCGTTGCTTGCTGCTACCATCGTACAACTCGAACAATCCCTTCACTAATGGACTGGTAACTGCTCATTTGTCAGGTGCTGCTGCTTCGTCGGCTGCAGATCCTCATCAAGTGTGGAGACCGCGTCAATGTCCTGACTCACTCCCTTCGACTGGAGCTGATCATCGTCCGAATTATTCATTAGATCAACCATCAGGTCACATCAGGTTTGTATTCTTCTTATCAGAGATAGAAGTATTTAGATTCAACTCTAACTGCACAGGCTATAGTCGGATTTCTCATACAATGCTCCAGATGATCGAAATATAACTCGCAGAACAGCTTTCATGCGGCCAAGCTCGCTATCCTTTTCATGAAGTAAAAATGAAATGGTTGGTATCTCGTTCTCATCCTTCGCATGCACATTCACAAATGATCGTGAATAGACTGCATCCCCTCTAATGTCTCCTCAACGATGTCTGGTCAATGGAACACCATGAAGCACTCTCACATACCCTCAATCCCCTCGACGTATACCCCCTACAGCATCGGGCTCCGGAACAGCATCAGCAAACACAATTCATAACATCTTCGTATGATATCACTTCCCCACGCAAACACAATTCATAAGTTCTCCGTATGATATTACGTCCCCGCCCCAAGCCTCCATCAACCCGACCCTCTCGCGCAGGCGCAGCGATTACGTTGACCAGACACAGGAGGCTACACAAGGCTTCCACCGACCGGGATCGACTACTCAGACTGTAATCGTCCGTCCGCCACCTGTAGCGTCGTCTGCGCTCGTGGCAACGTGAGGATTATCGACCGCAGCAAGCGCCGCCTCCGTACAGCCCTTCCGCCGATGCGAATGGTGGTACGAAGCACCAAGAATCTCGTCGGAGTGTCTGGTCACTTACTGGCCAGACACTCAGGTTGGGACTTCTGGATTGAAGAATTTGGGGAATACGTATCAGATGAAGGTCCTGACCAAGGCAAATTCGAGGAAAACAAAGATATCTCGTGTTATCTCCCCCTGGTCCTATCAAAGCTTCTACTGGAGCCGTAGAAAGTAGCCGAAGCGAAATAGAACGCGAGTACCGGTGCAGGGCGGGCAAGAGTATCCAAAGCTTCCCCGATACCTCGTGGGAGGTATGGTGGACCTACGCGGGTCCTTGTGGACAGTGCTGGTGCTCCACTAATTAGTTTTTTCTTCCCTTTCCGCATGTATATTATTCTGCGTTGGATATTTTTAGTTGCGGCTGCACGATGTTCCGAGTTCAACAAAGGCATACAAACCTCTGGGCTGCTTACGTTAGATTACTGTGGCCTCAGCAGACTGTATGGATCGCTGATTCATTGAATTTCTTGAATTTCCTTCGTTCTCATCGTTCTCATTATACCTTTCATCCTCTATTCACCGTATTCTCGTTTTTAAACCACTCAAAGTGCCTCTCTTTTCATGCCTGTTGTCCTCCCTAATGCCCCAGGGCATCCACCTGGCTTCGGCACCTCCCATTCAAGTGAGGCAACGGCCTTTGCCTTGCAAAGGGTCAACCAGCTGACACCGACCACCCTAGCCATCCAGAACGGTGCGACCAGATTCCACGATGGCATGACTGTTGTAGACATCAAGGCAAAGGCGAGGGAGGCTGTTCAGAAAGAAGCAAAAGGCGCTTCGGCTCTTTCCTTAATACGGACAGCTCGTACCCAATTACTTTCGGCCAAGGATTATGAAACAAAGGGTGATCTGAGGAGTGCGCTTGGTTCATTCATCAAGGCTGCTAGTCTTGCGAAGATGACTATGGACTCAGCGGAGTATTCACAGGAGGGGAGAAGCAAGGGGGGTGTTCTGAAGAAAGAACTTACGGATTTTCTCAGTGTATGTTTGGATCTTATCACTTTTCATATCTTTTCTGATGGTTCTGTGTTCAATAGGGCGATGGGCGCGATTTGACTGAAAGGACAACCGCTGTTGAAGAGAAACTGAAAGCAATTGAAAAATCTCAGCCGACGTACGTCCTACCTGTTATTGCTGTCATTGTTCCCTCATTCATTCCATCTAGGGAACAAAGCTCAAGCAATGGTTCCAATACCAGGTCTGGCGGGAGCATCGCTGACCGACTGCGGGCTTTGCAAGACAATGGCTTGGCCGTCACAACCAACAAGCGTTTTCTGCCAAGTCAACCACCAGCCTCGCCCATCTCACCAGCTGTCCGCTATTCGACCGCCAGCCAGTCTTCCCCATCCACGACCCATCCAACATTAGTCCCATCCACACCGATATCATCCGCTCCATCGCCCCATACCCTTGTTTCGCCCTCATCCTTTGGACCACCGTCACCTTCTTCATCACCATCATCGTCTCCACAACTAAACAACTTTGACCTGACTGGCTTTACGCAGGCATTTCCCTCTATTGATGAGCTTGATGAACTTCCGGGCTTCAATCCACCCTCCGTACCAACGGGACCAAGCAACAACGAATCCAGCAAGTCGGTTGCGAAAGATCTATGGACTGGCGAGTCGTCAGCATCTCCCCTGACCTCATTCAAGAGTTTCACTGTTCCCATTGAACGACCATCCAGTACTCCTGTCACACCCACGGTTAACAACTTTAACAGTCGTCCTGCTTCCCCTACAAAGTCAACGGTACCATTGAAGCCTTCTGGCCTGTCGAATACAGCAGCCTCAGCATCAAGCGGACCGAAGACGCCAATCCCAAAGACAAACACGGCATTTCCAGCAGAGCTTCTTTCATATATTCGAGAGCACAATGTTCTCGTTATCGACGTTCGGAACAGGGCGGAGTTTGACAGGGAACACATAGTGGCAGATGCTGTAGTTTGCATTGAACCCTCTATACTTATGCGGGAAGGGTTCGTATACGCTTTTTACCTTGTTCACTGACTAACACTTTTAACAGGGTGAACTCCAAAATGCTTGAAGATGCAATGGTCGTTGCGCCTCGACATGAAGCTAGTCTTTTCGGTAACCGTGACAAGTTTGATTTGGTCGTGGTGTACGACGGTTCTTCTGAGTCTTTTGGTGCCGCAAACACGCCGCTCTCAATTCTCGTCCGCGTTATCAGTGAACAAGCCTTTCAGAAAGTGCTCAAGAGGATGCCTATGATGCTCGTCGGCGGATTCGAAGCTTGGAAGCGGGATATAGGGAACACTGAGCTACGCGGCGAATCGTCGTACGCGGAAGTAAAACGGCCGATACCCACCACGGACGTCCCTAGTTCGTTGCTGCTGTCCTCGAGTCCGAACAACTCGAACAATCCCTTCACCAATGGAATGGTAACTGCTCAGCTGTCTGGTGCTGCTGCTTCGTCGGCTGCAGATCCTCATCAAGTGTGGACACCGCGCCAACGTCCTGATGCACTCCCTTTGAATGGAGCTGATCATCGTTCTAATTATTCATTAGATCAACCCTCAGGTCACACCAGGTTTGCCTTCTTTTTCTCAGAGAAAGAACTATATATATTCAATTTTGATTGTACAGGTCACCTGCGGATTTCTCATACAACGCTCCACCTGATCGAAGTATAACTCGCAGACCAGCTATGATGCGGCCAAGCTCGGTATCCTTTTCCCGAAGTAAAAATGAAATGGTTGGTATCTTGTTCTCATCCTTCGCACGGACACTAGCTGATACTCGTGTAGACTTCATCCCCTTTAATATCTCCCCAACGATCTCTGGTCAATGGGGCACCATCATCAAGCACCATCACATACCCTCAATTCCCTCGACGTATATCCCCTACAGCATCAGGCTCCGGAACAACATCAGCAACCACGCAAACACAATTCATGACATCTTCGTATGATATCACCTCTCCGCCCCAAGCCTCTATCAACCCGACCCTCTCACGCAGGCGCAGCGATTACGTTGACCAGACACAGGAGGCTATACAAGGCTTCCACCGAGCCCCGATCGACTACCCAGAGCTGACGTCACCACAGATCGTCCGTCCGCCACCTGTAGCGTCGTCTGCGCTCGTGGAACGTCAGGATAATCGACCGCGACCGCCTCCGTATAGCCCTTCTCCCCAGGCTAATGGTGGTCCGAAGGCACCAAGAATTTCGTCCGAGTATCCGGTCATTTATTGGCCCGACACGCAAGTTGGGATTTCTGGGTTGAAGAATTTGGGGAATACGTGTTACATGAATGCCCCCATTCAATGTTTGAGTGCTACGGTGCCGTTTTCGAGATTCTTCACTGGTGCGTGATTTTTGTTGGTTTTTGGGTGAAGACAGCTGCTGATGTTGGTTTTTGGTTGTAGAAGGGCGTTGGAAGACGGCGATTAATTTTACTAACAAGCTTGGATCTCAAGGAAAGCTTGCAGGCGCGTTTGCCAAGCTTTTACATGAGATGTGGGGTGAGGATTTGCCATTTGTTTCTCCCACAGATTTCAGGGTAAGCTTTTGTTTCCCCATCTGCTATTTTAGCGGTTTAGTGCTGACGGCGTTTGACAGAGATCAATATGCCAACTCAAGTCGCAATACAATGGTTCAGACCAACACGACTCGCAGGAATTCCTCAGTTTCCTGATTGATGGTATACATGAGGATCTGAACCGTGTTATGGTTAAGCCAACGATCACGCAAACGCCAGCGCAAGAAGCCGAGCTGGAGAGGCTTCCGGTGCAGATTGCTAGTGATCGTGAATGGAGGAATTGGAAGGCTCGAAATGATAGTTTGATTGTGGACTTTTTCCAGGGACAGTTTAGAAATCGGCTGGAGTGTTTGACGTGCCATAAGGTGTGTTGAGTCGTTTTGTCCTTACTTTTTTATGGTTACTAAGTTGGGTGTATATTAGACGTCAACGACGTACAATGTTTTCTCGATTCTGCAACTTCCCATACCTGCCAGGAGCGGCAAGGTTCCCATTGACCGTTGCTTGAATGCCTTTTTCAATGAGGAGGTTCTTGAAAAGGATGATGCATGGTATGTTTCCGCTGTCAAATATACTAAACATCTCTCATCGTTTCAATAATCAGGGATTGTCCACAATGCAAAGTCAAACGAAGAGCATCCAAAAGACTATCCCTAGCTCGCCTTCCCCCTATTCTCCTCGTCCATTTGAAACGCTTCGAAGCCAACGGGCGTTTTTCAGACAAGATTGACACTTTTGTGGATTTCCCTATCAAATCACTAGATTTGACGAATTACATGCCGCCCCCACTCCCTCCTGGAGCTGACAAGTCCGAGCTGAACGGTGGCCTCCCAATGTCCACGAGTGATCCCCGGACGCAGCTTCCCCCGTACCGGTATGATCTGTATGGGGTGACGAATCATTACGGTAATTTGAGTAGCGGGCATTGTGAGTTATCTTCCCTCTTTTTCCGTTTTGACGTTTTGCTCATTACTTGAAATTTGTTTAGATACCGCGTTCATAGCTTCGAATGGAGGATGGATGTATTGCGACGATAGCAGTGTAAAAGCAGTTGACCCAAAGCAGGTGGTCGTAAGTACTCACTTTACTATTCCTCCTTCTCCTTGATTCTCACATTTCATCTACCACAGAACCAAAAGGCATACGTGCTGTTTTATAAAAGAGTTCGTTCATAGAGTATACATTCAATTATTCTCCCCCTTTTTTTTTCAAGTTCTTCTCTTTCTTTATTCGCCTTCGCGGGCTGGATCTATTCTTGCCTTGCTGTAGTTGCTTACCCTTGTATTTTTTGACTCCCGTGCATGCATGCCCCTGGACCCCCGCACCTGTTCGCATTCACACTGTGTTGTTGGATTGTTGGAACTCTGACCATTGCCTCTGGATGTACATTATAGCTCTAATCAATTGTCATGGTATTCTGCTTCTGGACGTGTGGTGCCGGTGCCCCTCGAAGTAAAAGTAATTGTTGAACTGGGCGCCTAAACAAAAGAGGTATTTACACTTTTTGGAGACATACAGAACGATAAGCGTAAATCCTCAACAACGAAGGCGGAGAAATATTTACCTCAGCATCGCACAAATATACCCGCAAGATATTCCTCCACAAGACGTTCATCATCATACAAATCAGTTATCGCTCCACTTTTGGCTAGCTCCCGAATTTCGGGAGAGCGAAAATTTGACGAGAAGAATTGGCAATACTCCCAGTACCCAGGATACCATCCCCAATCAATTATAGCGGCGATCCTCCCGTCGCGAAAGAGGATATTGTATAGTCTGAGATCGCAATGCGCAAAGACCGTGCGGTACTTATTGCCTTCGCAACGCTTGAATGCTTCTTAGCAGTACTCAAGCCTCTTCGGATTCCCTCGAACGAAATTGTGGCCGATATGTGCGTGGAAATCGTCAACGGACGCGAACGGCCCAAACTCTCCCAGCAGGCGAATGTCAAAGCACGGAGAGCCGTCGATGGACTCCACCCGTCCCGGATTCGGCGGCACGAGCGAGCGCAACTCGTTGATGTAGGTTTTGAATTGAGAGCAGATCGCTCCCTTCTGCTCGTCTGTCATGTCCGACCAAACGTCATACAAGCTCTTTGCGTTTTCGATGAACTCCATCACGATGTACGACTTGTTGTTTCGCTTAAAGACGTCGAGGATACGGGGAACGGGGATGCTCGTGTTCGTTCGAATGAATTCCGTCGTCAAATCCTCAGTGACGCGGTCGTCGAACCTCACCTTCACCACTATCCGAACCCATCCTGACCGCAGCCCCATCTGTCCGCCCGTACCATCGATACTTCAATCGCACCAAGATCGTAAGATTTCTGAAGCGACGTTTAATGTTGTCCAGAAGGGTCATGTTTCCGGAAGGAAATTGGCCAACGTTTTGAGAACTTGGATAAGGGTTCTTTAGCATCGAAAGGGTACAATGCAAAGCAATGGTCTTACACCTTTCCATAGTTGTCGATGTTATACTTGCCTTGTTACGCTTCTTTGCGAAATATGGCGTTTAACACAGTAAAGCACCGCGAGGGAGCTGATACAGGTCGAGGTGAAAGGCAGCTTTGCTTATTTGACACCAACGGGGTATGGGGTATGGGAGGTTTATGGGTTATGCTATGCGAACCGACTTGGTGGACACAAAATGCTCTAGGGTTAGAGAGGTTATGGTTTGTCAGAGGTATGGGATAAGAGAGGTTTGAGAACTTCCCGAAATGGTCAGGGACTGGACTGTGTGATGCCAGTGCCCCTCGAAGTAAATGCATATGTAGTCATTGGACTGGGCGCTAAACGAAGAAAACATCTCGCGACCGGCATGTGACCGCGACAAGATAAGATTAGCGATTGATATTTCTCCAGGTCTCATAATAGTTATATTCATTGGACGCACTCCACATCCGTGCTGCTGAATGTATACACAGGTCCAAGAGACAGCAGATAACAAGATTCGATAACGCGGGTAAAGAGATGAGAAGAAAAGAGGAGGTGGAAAAAGAAAGAGATAGGTAGAGGGAGAGAGGAAGGGAAAGAGAGATACTAGCATGAATGTGTAAGGTGTACTTGATTGATATGGATAGCGTCAACGATGAAATTATTTGGGAAATCACCACGCTACGCGCCAGTAGAAACGTCTCTTGCAAAAAAAAAAAAACATTATCGTGGTTCGTGTTAGTACCTTGCGAGGAACTAAATCACAATGGAATGTTGGCGTTTATCTCTTCCAATAGCTCTTGTGCGATTTTTGCATTAGAGACCTGATTTGACGTAAGGGTTTATTTAGGAAGAGAGATAATTAGAGAAACTGAGACGTACCCTGAGATTATAATGCGTCGTAGCTCCAGCCTCAATGATGCTGAACCGAAGGTATCGTGGATCCTGAGCAAGGGAACAACGCATCCCAGAGAAGAGGGTAACGTTCAGGAGGAGCGTATACACGGCCTCCTTGCGCATCACTAAAAAAACGAGTGAGAGGAAGGATCAGAAAGTAGAACTGGGGTGAAGAGAGAAAGTAATACCCAATCGAGCGCCAGTCCCATCATCTCGTTTAACATTGAGCTTCAACAACCCCGTTCCTCGCTCTTTCCAGGTATTTCCCCCCACCAAGGAGAAGAGTTTGCCTCGTACTTGGTGGATAGTCTCTTCTTCCTCTTCTCCAGTAACAACTACAACCACCAAAAAGAAATGAGCACACAAATTAACCAAAAAGAAAAGCAACCAACCATCCTGTTCAGTCAACAACACCTTTGACTGCTCTTCCTCGCTCTTCGACTCCTCATCCTCATCTTTCCCCGCCCTCAACCGTGCACCAAAGCTCGTATGTGTAGACCTATAACCCCCATCATCCTCTGCACCACTATCCGATCCATTATTATTCCCAGTCGTGGTGGACGCGCCAAAAACACCAACAGTAGGATTCCTCTCCAACGAGCTCCGTGCAGACCCATTTGGCGAGCCAGCGCGAGCCCTCTTCTGCATGGGCACAGCAAAACTTTGCGCCGTTCCCGCGTACGAGGCGAACGGGTTTGTTGCGTTTAGATTGGCAGTGTTTGTTCGTCGAGGTGGAGACTTTGCGCGCCCCAACTTGGCTGTGGATCCTGATACGGGGAGCTTTGCTTTTATGGAGGCAAAGGGGGAGGCAGAGGATGAGAATGCTTCAAATCCTGATCGTTTGGTGGCTGTGGGAGTGTTGGAAGAGGTGGATGATTCGCCTAGCTTGGGAATGGATGCTGAGAGAGGGGCTGCAGGAGCCGGTATAGATGGCGGTGGAGGCGTTTTATTGCTGTTGCTAGACGCGAATAGGTTTTGGCCTTTGACAGAGGCAAAGGGTGAACTTGTGGATGCATAAGCCATGAAGCCGCGCTAATTAATCAACAACTACTCGTTAGTGACATGAAAACAATAAGATTAAAATTCATACCGGCTTGGAAGCCTTGGGAGATGGGGGAGAAGGGCGACGTGGTGATTTAGGCTCAGGTGGTGGAGAAGGCCGCTTCGTTTCTCTAGGATTATCATCCCCGTCCGCTTCGTCTCTCGGTCTCTTCAACGGTTCCGGACCAGATGTATCTACAGTTTCAGGGGGGCCCTGACTCGTGCCCCGCTCAAGGAACTTGCGTTTCAGACCTTTATCCCCACCACTCTCCGAATCAGATCGAAGACGAAACGTGGACTCTTCACTAAGAGCCTCCTTGCGTGGTACGGCGGGGCTGGCATCCATCATGGATTGGGATGGCATGAGCTGTGTCTCCTCCGGTGTCTTGGGGGGCGACTCATCCTGAGTCTCGGAGTCGACCTTTATATCCACAGTCGAACCTTGAGTAGCGATAACGTCTTGAGCATCCCCGGGCGCTAGACCCGCATTGTCCTCATCCGCATCTTTGTCCGGGGTAGTAGCCTGCATGTTCCGCCAACTGAGGTCTTCAACCCCCTGGCTGATTTGCCTCACCCGCATCTTCATTTCCTGCGGTGGTGAGACGCTGAGTGGGGGCGAGCCCGAATTCGATCTAGATCGAGTCAGACCATCGTCCTCCTCCTCTGTGGTGTCGAGGCGTCGCCTGTTCTTCTTCGCTGGGGTACGTGTGTCTTTGCGGTCGAGGAGCAGGGGATCTGTATCCTATGGTTTATTGTGGTTGTCAGTATAGAAGAGAGAGAAAAGGGGAGACCTACAACGATGGTTGAAGGGGTTAGAGGTTCAAGAGAGACCTCTCGTTCTCGTTTCCTTGATAACTTTAGTTCTGTGTAAAGATGAGTATGAGTGTGAAGGCTGTGGTAGTGAAGACAAACCAGCGTCTGTAGTGTCTGGAGACGGAGGAGTCAGTGGGGGCGAGTTCTTCCTCGCAGAGTGTTGTAGTTCTGACATGGTAGGTTGAGGAGAAAGGGCAAGCTTGGAGACTGAACAACCCAGCCCAGCACAAGGCTCGTTATCCTCGGCTATAACCGACTGGCCACCTATCCACAACGGCCCGATGGCCAAAACAATTGTTCTTGTAAATGCCACTCCATCCAAATATTCCTACAAGTTACTATACTGTACTATCTCCCAATTAGATATGCTATAAAGGTTCAGAATCAGCTTTTGATGTCCATGTTTTGCGTCGTTCCTCCGCCTCTCCTAGGATATCTCTCAGACTTCGCTCGTATACAGGTTTTGTCAGTACACTATATTGAACAATGTATAAGCACCAGGCCACCGTACGCAGTGCGAAGCCACCTACCGATCAACACCCGCTTCTAAATACTCCTGTTGATCACTCAACAACGCGTTGCCTGCCCAGCAAATTTCAGTACAAGGAACCTTTTTGATTAGAGGGGGAAAAAACAACGAACCTGTAACCCCAACAATAAAATCCTTCCTCCCCAACTGCCTCAACTTCTCCACCGCCTTCAACCCAGACATAACAGGCATCTGGTTGTCCAAAAACACCACAGCATACTTCCCCTCCTCAAAAATAACATCTGCCCGCAAATTCTGCCGTCGCTCCAATATCGGACCACAGTTGCTACCCGACGAATCGCTCGAAGGCGTTGACCCAAACAGCCCCTGGTGACCCAATATCATCTCCAACGCCATCTCCCCGTTCTCGGCTACGGACACCGCACACCCCAGCCGCGTCAGTAGCCGCTTCATCAGCGACCGCGTTATATGGTCATCGTCCACCACTAGCACAGAAAGTCCAGGTTCGATGGGGATAGCCACATTTGACGATGCTGGGCTACCACGGGTATAACCTTGGTCAAACAACGTCATCGGATTTATCCCATGGCTTGATCCTGATGACATGCTCGATAGTGTCGATGAAGTGGCAGGTGGTTGATTCTCCGAGGAAAATGTTGGTGGATGTGGTATTAAAACGAATTTCGGACGGTTTTGTCGCAGAATATTTTCTTCAGTTGGAGTGGTCAGGTCGTCAAGAGTCTTCGTGGAGGTATCATCGAATGGAGTCTCCGTGGGGGTATCATCTGGAGGGGTCTCCGTGGAGGTGTCGGGAGAGGACTGTTGTGGAGTTTGAACAGGTGTTGTACAGTCGTGCGATTTCTCAACTTCCTTCTTCGAAGCACAAGCACCAGACGACGACGATCTCGGAGAACCATAATCAGGCTTCCTCAACACGAGCTCAACTCGTCCACCTGCATGGAATCCCTGTTCAGCAACTTCAACCATCTTCAAAACAAATAACAGACCTTGTTCCATAATACTATGCATAGCCGCCGTAGTCCTCGACGTCGTCTGACTCGTGCTAACCGGAATCGACTGCCTCTCACCCAGGGTCATTGCACTAAACGCAAGTTCCGTCGTCAGGTCGTGTACCTTCTCTGATCCTGAATGCGCAGTTCCCTCGGGGGATAGGTCAGGCAGGGCAGTTTTCAACGTCTCGCGACCAACTCCAAGGGGTAGCTCGACCCAGAACGTTGAGCCTTCGCCAACTTTGGACCGAACACCCAGTCGTCCTCCACTGAGTTTTACGATTTGACGGACGAGAGCTAGGCCAAGACCAGTGCCTTTCCCGCCTATTTCAAAAAAACAAATCAGTTGCCTGTAAATTTTCATACAATAAAAGAACCGACCCTGCTGTCGCCCTTGCTCAGTTTGCGTGAACGCAGCTACAAAGGAAGACCCATCAGTCAAAGCCAAAACACAAGGTCCCAATCCGCTCACAGAAAAGCTTGCTCTCCGCCATGTCCCTCGGCCTAATCCCAACGCCAGTATCGGTGACTTCGATCCTAACAACAATATATTCCAAAGGAGGACGGGCCTTGTCATGTTGCATATTATGTTGCGTCAAATAACTAGTCGACAGCGGATGCAGTTGGTCTCCCTCAGAAAAAAGCATCACAGGTTCCGTTATTGGCCCTCCGAACGGGTCCAAGGATTTCGCTTCTGGAACGATGAGCATGGTCTTGACCGTCAATTTTCCACCCGTTTCCGTGAATTTGCAGCCATTGCTACGACAGATCAGTCGGTAGTGGTTCCAATACATATCAAGAAACGCACCTAGCAAGATTAGTGATGATCTGCCGTAACCGAGCCTCGTCTCCAGCGACGATACCGTCCATAGAAGGATGTTCTGTGAGATGCTTCTGAATGCTTTCCTTGGTTTCTCCCAGTGCTTCGTATGACACTCTCCGCGCAACCTGCATTGTGTTATTATAGGTCTGCTCTTGTGAACTTGATCCATACCAAGTCGATATTTGGATCAAGGTAAGTCTCAAATTGTAACCCGCGAGCATCCGCTGCCAGCCGTAGGGGAACGAAAAGTGATCGCATGACTTGATGGAATGCATATGGCTTCATGAAGCTTGTAAGGAAAAGCCATCACAAGGTTCGCAGACAACATACCCTAGAAAGAATCTCAAATCGCCCGCCATCCATTCGGTTGCTACTGGAACTCAATAAGCTTTCTTTTAGCTGAAGCTCCGAACTTACAAGTCAAGAACATCATTTAGCACTGCAACGATAGGTCAATCTCAACAACATCACCGCTTCCGTCGCAAAACAAAATACCTTTTGACATCATGCTGAGACTGCCACACAGTGCGTTGAACTCAATTTCCTGGTCTTTCATAATCATATGCGATGCCTCCATGTTCTGAACGGCCAGAACTAACAGAATTTCTTGAGGAGAGTCCAAACGAAGGATATGAGGGACTCACTTGCGGTATTCAATGGAACTCGGACCTGTATAATCCCCCATTATCAAGACCTTGTAAGGGATGGGGATAGAAGTGAATACTTATCATGAAAAACATAACTGAAAATTGGAATTAAGAGTTGTTGTTGTCAACAAAATTGACATAACATACGATGTGAGACGTCTCTTTGAATCAGCCGCTTTTCGCTCGTTGATCTGTGCCTTTTGCTTTGCCTGCCAATTGGAGAAAGTAAGATGAGTCTCGGCACCTAATTGTAAGTATACCTTGAACTGAATCTTCAGTTCGTCTCGCAGGGTATACAGCCGTCTTTCCGACTAGTTATATCGTTCGTCAACGAAAACATTTATCGAATCTGCAGGGCAACGCACGTTTTCCCACATATAGTGAACGTAGATGAGGACTTGCGATCGAGGGTTCAATGACATCAGTTTGACTTATGCACGCAGAGGCACCTACAGCTGTGAAATACGAAAAAGTTAATCATGGCTAGAATAGACAGGTACATCAGCAACCATGTCCTAGAAAGGGATAAGTGTACGTACTTCGTGCCCAACTCGTCTTGAGGGGGATCATCGTGATCGATGCGCTGCGAAAGCGACGTTGAGGGGAAGTTGAATCGCCAGCAGAATAAGTGGTCTCACAAGAGGAAAAAAAGAAGGGCACCCATTGCAGCAGGGAAACGGTTAAGCCGAAGACCGAATAAAGCTACAGCTTGAAGAGCCTTTAAAAAGATGAGGGGTAAGTCAGGAAGGTGCTGTAAGAATTAGCAAGGAGCCTACTGTTGCATAATAGAATATTGCCATAAAGTCTCGACCTTGACAATTCGGAGATGGTGAATAGTAGCCACATGAAAGACTGCCGTAGAACGATTCAATCCTCAAAGCTTCTACACCAGCAAGGGAATACGAACATAAAGATGACTTGATAGAATGACCTTGGTCGTAGCACGGTAAATGAAGCATGAAAAGATTCTTGAAAACAAAACTTACCAGCACCAAATAGAAAGACCCAGAAAACCCTGATATATATACGGTCGACGTCGAGGCCAGTCATACAGTACCATGAAGCTGCTTTTGGTTGAGATCACGTCCTAACGATATCAATGACACTTACACAACGGGTATACTGACAATAGGAGCAATCTAAAAGCATAATTCAAATTGGTACCTCAATGTCGTCATCGAGAACACGTACCACAAAGTAAAATATTTTGTCTTGAGTCACGACAGGATTGCGAGGTATGAAAGCGCATCCAAGAATCCAGTTGAGAACAAGCCAGATAGAGGTATAAAGGGCGAGATGTTTCTTGAGAAACCAGGACTCCTAAGAAGGTGTAAGAAAAATCAAGGCCATACTACGGAACAACAAAACGCACCTGGGAATAATGCTCCTCAGATTTATCATCCAGGAAGCGAGAGTTGAATATTTTGACAAGAGAGGGCCATACCCGCCACCGCAAGAAAATTAGCATCTGGTTCCGGGACCAGAAACCCTCGTAGACAGCACTTTCGCTGTCGCTTGCCCCGTGGTTCAATTGACTGCCCGTCTTGTCTGGGCTACCAACTAGGTCTGAATTTGTGACCGAACTCTTTATATCCTCACTCCAAGCTCGGTCCACCACCACCTCATTTACTTCCTCGTCATCCTGATAGCATTGCAGACGTCGGGTGAAAATGCTCTCCACAACGCTCTCTTCTACGACAGAGCTGCTCGAAGGGGCGGGGCCCGTAGCCAGCCTTTTCTTGAACCGCGCCCAATGAACAGCGAGGCCGGATATACGCGCCGTTTTCCTCCTATTTCGACTAAACTGGCCGCCAGAATTATGAAGCGCAGGAGGCGGAAGCACGTCATCATCGACGGTAGTCGTGGGGGCCGTCGTGGGCATGTCTAATTCCGTATGGAATGAGGCTTGACGCTTCTCGCTGGTCCTCGGCCTTATATTGAGAGAGGGAAGTGTAACTTCTTCGGGCCATTTACTAGAGGACGCGGCGCTGTTCCCTGAGAATTTTGTAGACCACAGGGTCATCCGGGGCCTGTACCGCTAAGGGTACGATCAGCTCGACAATGGACAAGAGGTGGAAAGAGAAAAGGATTTAAAGTGAAGCGCTGTCGCTTGTCTGCTGCATAAGTTCAATCTGTGACCCTGCCCCCTGAGCCGTCACGGCCAAGTCCCCTCCATTTCGGGAAGTTCTCGGCCCTCGGGTATCATCTTCACTTTATCGCAACTTTATCGTTCTGCTTTTCTCTCAACTTTATATACTGTAACAAAACACCATTCGTTTTCTTTGCGTTTTCTGCTGTTTTTTGTCTCGCTCCGCCGCCGCCATTACACCGGTCGAGGTATCAAGCATCAATTACACTGCGGTCAGTTCGCAGTACATGTATTACGTATTTTTGGCTTTAACCTCTCTGCTTGTAATAAATATGTTTTCCGAAAATAGAAAACCTTCCTCTGTCGACACGATTCATGTATCCCATTTGATGGATAGGCAAGAGCCAACAAATAAATATAAAAAGGGCGGCCTAGTATTGGCGAGATTGCGCTCCATCCACCTAAACTAGAACTTGCCTATGTTACATGTACCAGGGACTCATCACGCTGTGACGTTTTGATCGTTGGTCTGCAGATGTACCGTTCGATACCCAAATCCGAGAGCAGCTCGTTATATAATTAAGTTCAAGAAACGCTGAAACGGGTCATGAAATCATGTTCACCGTTTTTGGCTTGCCAAAGTGGTGTGTCTGTTGATGAGTCGTCGACGTCGGAGTGTGAATTTACACCTCTTGTTTCCCCCTTCACACCTCCTCCCCGAAATCAACCTCTCCATCTCCTCCGGCCCTTTACAGCCCCCATTTCAAATATTGTGGCCGATTAATTTTGGTCCTACTCGCTTGTTCTCATATTTGTGCTTCTTCTTTATTTTTTGGAGGGTTCATCTCGGATTTCGAGCTCAGCTCAGACCTGATGTCTTTCCCCGTTTATCTCAAAAATGGCGATCAAGTCAAAGTCAATGGTAGAAATTCAATTTAACTGCACTCCACAATACAGGGGAGAGTTCTAACCATTTTTGCAGACCATGTTTACTGTTCGCCCAGTTGGGACACACGGGACGGCACGCCTTACTCAGTGGCGCGCATTATGCAATTCTTGCCACCTGCTGATGCACCAAAAGGCGAGGAGGGCAAAAATTACCTGTACACTCGTGTTCGACTCGCCTGGTATTATCGACCCAGCGATGTGAGTGACCGACCTGTGGCAGATTCTCGCCTCCTTCTCGCTGCGATATATTCGGAAGTATGCGACATCAATCAACTTCGCGCCAAGTGCCACGTGGTCCATCGAGACAAAATTTCCGACTTGTCTGGCTGGAAGAAACGTCCTGATAGATTTTACTTCAATCGTCTTTTCGATCCTTACATCAAAAAGGAATTCGAAGTTATACCATCTCAGAATGTTCGGAATCGTAAGTTACTCTTTTTGGGTAGATATGTTTGAATTTTATTATTTCTCATGATATTTCTAAAGTTCCCGACTCGATTCGAGATGTCCTCATTTCTCGCTACGAGTATGTCGTCGCGGAGAAAGAGGTCATACCAGACCTGACCGATCACGTCCGTTTATGTGACAGCTGTCAAGGATGGTGCCCAAGGTAGGTCACCCGCCAATATCTCTTGAGAAAACGATAACGAACGTATCCAGTCCGGATACCGTCCAATGTGACCGCTGTAAACGATACTTTCACATGCGCTGCGTGCAACCTCCCCTCATGGCCAAACCATCTCGAGGTTATGGGTGGACTTGCGCCCCATGTTCAAGAAAACATGAGCAAGAGGTCGACAGCCACGAAATTCGACATCCCACTCCAGTGCCCCCAAAGCCGAAGTCCAACCTACCCGCTCCAAGGGGTCGTGGACGTCCACGAAAAGATCGGTCTCTAGCAGAGAAGCAGGAGAACTTGCCCGTCAAGCATTTCAATCTGTGGCCATTTCGTTATTTCGGGTGAGATAACACCTACTTATCATCGGTCTAATGAACAATGGTTTCTTTGCAAGTCAACACACTGTTGCGGAAGACACCCTTGGTAAGTGTCTCTCAAGAACCAAGGGGTTGGAATTGTCTGATGGGCAACTCAAGATCCTGAGGATTTGATCTTTCCTCGAACTGCCACACGCCAGGGTCCCAAGTTCCAGGCGACCGTACCACTAGGACCTAATCCTGATATCCCTCCCGCAGGTGTGTGTCCTTCGTCAATCCTATTCTCTCCTTTAATGTTGCGCAGACGAGGAGAGGGGAGATGACAGAACAGTGGAAACGTTCGGCCTCATCAACACCTTGACAGAATCAGAAGGTGCGCAAAAACCTTGAATTTTTTGCTGACTTATGTGTTTACGCCTGCTTGGTTTAGTTGCTGAAGGTAAGCGGAGCCACACAAAACGAAGAATTCCCAGCTGAGCTTGTCACAGTCGAAGAATGCATGCGTGGCCTGACAGATGACGCGGAGCTAAGACATAATGTCGATTGGTTAACGGAGGTCATACGTCGGTTCTCTGATGCCGCCATTGTCGCCCGTTCATTTAATTCGGTGAATATGAAGTCGCCGAAGAGCACCGTCAAGGTAAATTTCCGGTTGAACTTATTAAACTTGTCCTGATTTTGTTTGGAAGTGGGTCAAAGACGATAAAGGGTTGTTCACCACGGTCGAAAAGGTATCGTACATCGATGAGCCGTGGACTAGGGACGAAGTCGTGGCCTTTGAAGATGCTATTCAGCTTCATGGCGCCGAACTTCGCGCTGTCAGAGATGAAGTTGTATCACGATCCATGCCTGAGGTTGTGAGGTTTTACGGTCATTGGAAAAGGTGCGACCTTTTATCTTGTTCCACGTTTTTTATTGAAATGCTCCGATTAGCTCTAAACTTGGGGAGGAGAACCAAAGAATCAGGACTGCGGGGGTCCCTCCCAAACCAATCAGAAAGCAATATATGAGCGCTGCTGAGGCCAATGATGGCCAACGCGTGGGCCTCTCCGATGACGAAGGGTCCATTGTATCCCAACCTTCAAAAACTCCAAGCTGTGGGGCTTGCAGGACACGGGAATCAAACGTATGGTGGAAAGCGCCTAAAGGGCTGCCCACGAGCACTCTCTGCGAAACATGTGGCACAAATTGGAGGAAATACGCGGATTTGAATGTCCGACCGGTTCGAGAAGAGTCTCTGCCGACTTCCAAGTCAAGAGGTGGCATAGAGAAGCGCGAAGGTACTCCATTAGCAGGACCTTCTGCGAAGAAGGCGAGGGTAAGTTGATGCCATTCTGAAGTGAGACGACACCAATACTTTCCTTAATAGACAACGGCATCTGCACAGTCAACACCCCCACCAACAACGACAGCGCCGCAGATAAGATGCCTAACTTGCATGAAGAACGGTCCTATAGGCAAGGTTCTGAAGTGCAAACAGTGTCAACTTCGGGTGCATGCAGGTGAGGATTCACGAAGACCTTCATGTCAGCGTCTGTTTACAACAACAACAGGTTGCTGTGGCGCTATCGTTGATCCTGCCAATGTAGAATCCTGGGTCTGTGAGCTGTGCGAGAATGAAGAAAGTTTAGAATCATCCGTTGTAAGTACGCCGTTCCTCTCTCGTGATTTGATTTTGACACACGATAGAACCCCGATTGTCTACTATGTCCTCGAGCTGGGCGCGAGGACAGGACCAAGAAACCTTGGCCTCCATCAGATACGTTCTTACGAGCCTGCAAACCTACGGAAGGGCAGGGCTGGGCCCATATATTATGCTCTGTGTTTACCCCGGAGATCACTTTTACGGACGCCTCACGTCTTCGTCTAGTCGAAGGCCTGAATACGGTGCCTCGACATCGATGGACAACTGTGAGTATTTTAACGATACTTGACACAAATGCAGCTCACCTAGCACGAAACCACAGAAATGTTGTCTGTGCAGCGAACCTGAGGGTGCTGTTATACGCTGCAACGATTGCAGCAAGGAGTTCCATGCTTCCTGCGCATGGAAGCAAGGGCATAAGTTTGGGTTTGAGATCCAACCAGTACGCTTGATTTCCCTGCTTCAAAGTGCAATGATGATATTCACATGGCATGTAGGTCAAGAGCAGTCGCAGAGATACCACTATCATCACAACCTTCAAGGGCGAGTCGGGCTGCATGAACGCCATCGTGTCCTGCAAGGAGCACGATCACAGTAAACGCGACATCTACGACATTTGTGAGACAAATGAAGGTGGCGAGGTAAGCAGAAAGGCTCTAGCAAACCCAACTTTCTTAAACATTGTTGGCTATAGACTGCGCTACAAGTATACTGTCAAGCGTACAAACAGGCTCCTGTTGGTCAAGCCCACGCACTCCTGCGCAAAGCTCGACGTTTAGACTCTATCCTCAACGTTCGCAGCGATCATATCCCACTAATTACACAAGAGCATACCTCGTCAGATCCTGAATGTGTGGTGTGCCATACCCAATTCTCCCCCGCCTTTTATTTCCTTTCCCGCAGCGAGAAGTATCGGACCATGCAAAACGGTCTTTGCACCGATTGGATTTGCCACAGTTGTCATTACCCTGATTTGGTGCAGAGGGACATGGTGGTGTCGTAGTTGATTTCGTAGTATAGCATTTACATTGTATAATAGGGCAAGTTTACCTTGCACTCGGGGTGCAGCCTCTTCGCACGAATTCATTGTGTCTTGAAGCTTTAGAGACATCCACCAAACAACACCCGTCCATCCTAGGCCTTATTAATTTTTGTTCTGCCGCTCTCAAATCAACGTGAGCCTTCGCGAGATCTATAAGCCTCATTTAAATAAAACTTTTGTCTCTGAAGCGGTGCTATTACCACCCGCCGTCTCATTCCGGGAACTCGCTACCGTCGCGCAAATCCACCCCTGTCAATCGCTTGAAGATTCCTCGTCGTATGAGGTCGATGTGATCGCGTAGACTCGGACCCGTCCCCGTCTCCCCGACTGTTCTGTCGAACCCAAACGCGACGACCTGCACGTGCAAAATTTTCTTTCCCTGCCTTCATCGAAGTGAAGGAATGCCACCGATGTCACGGTTGCAACCCCTTTCACCACTCTTAGTGCTAACATCTCATTCAGACGCGACAAGTTCACCATTCACTCCAAAGCCGTTGTTCGCCAGGATGTTGAGCTCAAGGGTCTCTGGTAACACCTCTCCATTCAACTTGCATTCCACCTCTCATACCTGTGTCAAATGTTTGCGTATAGGCACAATTGTACACCCCAAAGCAACTATATTTGCTATTGCAGGTCTAATTGTAATTTGGATGGGGTGCATCATTGAAGAGGTTTACCATCATATTCATTGGGATAGAAGTTCGTTCTGCCAGAAAGACAGCCTCTTCGGTTCCCCGTTAGTTCGGCCTAGAAGGAAGACCACATACTGTAGATAAGTACTTCTCTTCCAAAGCCTTTGGAATATTCATCCTGTCTGATTATTCCTCGCTTCAACCATTCCAATGTCAAAAGGGGTCGTTGGAAAATTTCCCATCTGCTAGCCTCATCCGGCAGGTTATAGATGTATAAAAAGCAGAATGTGCATTGTCGAACTCCAACTCAGTGCAGTTAATCCAACTGGTGAGTATTCCTTCCTACCGCAACAGGCGCTACCCCCGCTAATAAATTCCTACTTGTGTCATATACACTAGAACAGCATGAAGGCCTTCGGGGTCGCTACCCTCATCGCTCTCTCCGCCTTGATCAACGGATCTTCCGCACTCTGGTGCGGGTGCTATATGAAGGAGCACGGCTTTTGGGGCATAGACATCTGGAGTAAGTTTTCTTCAGATGTGTGCTGTGTGAGAGTCACGGGCGAGGGTATCAAAGAAGGAGGCTCTTGGTTTGGGTTGACGCAAAGCAACTGGTGTAATGCAGTGGGCCCTGCTCAGGCGGACGAGTTTAAGCATTGCTGCATTCCGGCTTATGGGTATTGCAAGTGAACTGGTTGGAGGGTGGTATTTATCGTTCGGGGAGTGTGAGTAGTGTGAACCTACAAGCATCCGAAACTCTTCAGTATTCGCCCGCGCCTGGCAATTGCCTCATTTATTGCTAGGTTGCACCGAAATAGTCCAAAAGTAAGGGGCATGTACAAACCCAATTCTTGCCTTGACTGAACCGATTGAAATAAGTAAAAAACCTTTGACAGCCGAAAAACTGGGCTCCTGTGTTATCAATGTACTTACAGAGTAGCGAAATCTGAGAGGTTTTTTGTGATTCACTTGATTCCCTGAAGTACGCATGGAAAACCTCACGTTTTGAAATCACTGAATACAAAAGAAAGCGCTTCTCAGAGAAAAAAATGCTGTGATGTGAATCCTACTTGCTGAATTTAGCACTGGTATACTGAAGCGGGTGGCAAAACACTACTCAATTGCGAGTATCGTGATAAACCCACCCCATTCATCTTACTTGTCAATACTCCATCTGTTTGGAAAATCTCCCCCTCTCTCGCTGTGTGCCACGTCGGATCATGATTGCGCTGTAGTAATAAAAAATAAATAAAATCTGGCACTTCGACCTCCTGACGCAATCCTGACGTTTGGGAAATTTCACTCATCAGTTGTCTGAAAATCATATGTGAAAGCCCAAATTACGTTATGCATGAATCCAATGTCGGAGAGACCACGAATGGGCTTTGGGAAAATTCGCCGTCCCCGTTGTGTACGTTTAACATAGGCATTAGTGATATTGGATGGCTTGATTGTCGCTGGAGGCGTTGGACATACGAAACGAAGCTATCGAAAGCTAATACTTCGCCCAGATCAGAATCAAGTCCCAATAGATAGGTGTTTGCGATGACGGGAGACAATTTATCGATGGCGCGCTTCCTTTGAATCCTTTCACTGGTTGGGGGGGTTGCAGAAAGGGCCAAAGGTTTCCAGAAGTCGGTCAAACAAGCGTTCAGTCGTTGGTTGCATCCAAGATACAAGGCAAAAGAGATTGCTAACAGAATGTGGAAGGACGAGGAAATCCAATTCCTGGAAGTTCTATAACAGGATCTTTTGAAACGTCAGAAACCTCTTCTGATTTGCTGGACGCTCCATTCACCGCCACGATGAAATGAGTTTCCTATCAATAATGCGTCATCTATACAGTTGAATTTGAAGTAGTGATCTGCTTTAGCCAAAAATCGAGCCTTTTCTCGATCATGGACGAGAGTAGCTCTAATGCAGGTCCTACAGTGACATTTGAGCATCTTAGCCTCAACCCTGTCAATGGAGACAGATCATGTGATGCATTCCAGAGGATTATCAATGGGCATGAGAGCTTGGGAAAACATGGGGTGGTAAAGGGCCTGTAAGCAGCCCAGAGATCGCCCTCATAATAGCGAGTCACCATAGGAATGGCATATTTCCCATAATACTGGGCCAGGCATCGAATGCTGGCGCGTCAAAGGGAATATATTCCAGAGAGAGCTCTGTGAGGTTCGAAAGGGAAGATGAGGAGAGGACGATGAGACAGTGGCAGAGATGGAGTCGGCGCAAGCACGGAGCGTTCTCAGAGAAAAGGTTTTCAGTGATCATCAAAGGAGGGGGCCGTTCTCGATGAAAGTGGCGAGGTGGAATATTCGAGGTTTGGGGCTTGGCTTGGATTTGCAAATTTCCATAGCGCCAAACCTCCCGATCCACGTAAATATTGACGGTCTTCAGCCTCTGAGCATGACACATTATATGACTGAGGATGGGTGATTTGACGCGCATGCCGCTATGAGACCCCCAAGTTTGGGGCCTGACCTAATTCAAGACTCTTCTGACGAGGAAGTTGCAACAGTTTGACAACTTAAAGAATTGCGTCGTCGTCGAAACGTATAGTTCGACTCCAAAGTGCAGGGATCAATCTAACATCCACCGTCTTGACATGAGCGCCTCCGAGTCAGGATGGTGGTCGGGTTCCCAGAACCCTTTACTTGCGGCTCAAAGGTCGCTGCTCGTACTGAATAGAAAGTTGTTTGCGACGCTAAGAATCGGGGGAGCTTGTTTGATTTTTTGAGGGAGCATCTCAGTAAAATCGTGTGAAGAAAAATGTAAAAAATTGTTTCAACCTCTAGGCCAACGTCTAGCCATGTCATACGATGCACGCAGGCTCGTGGGCATCCAAAGCGAGCGCGTTACAAACGTGTCGAGCACAGACTACCCTGGGCACTACCCAGATGAAGACAACGAATGGTCCCTGGAAAAATTCAAAAAGGTGCGTCGCAGCCGTTGTCAAAAATTCAGCGAGTAACCAAGTTCCTCTCCGCAAGGTAGAACTTGAAAGTTAAAGTTCAACGACTTTCGAATCTGTCAATAGATTTTGACCTCGTCGGTGTGGATGCCTCGATTGCCAATGCTTTTCGACGGATCATGATTGCCGAGGTTAGTTTTTTCGAACACACTTCCATGGTTGAGCTAACAGTTTTCAAGGTCCCGACGGTGTGCATAGAAAATGTCTATGTCTGGGACAATACCTCCGTTGTGGTGGACGAGGTTTTGTCACAGCGACTAGGCCTCATACCACTCAACATAGATCCCGACTTGATAGTGATGAAAGAGAGTATGTGCAAAATTTTGACTGTGCCCTTCACGCATCTCAATCCATCATTAGCTTCCGCCGACCAAGCTACCGACCGCAACACCATCGTCTTTGAGATTAAACTCACGTGCGAACGCAACCCCAAGGCGAAGAAAGACTCAACCGACCCCGACGAGTCGTACATCAACCATGAGGTCCTCTCATCACATTTAGTTTGGAAACCAGCCGGAGAACAAGAGGAAGTCTTTGCGGGAAATCCCCCGGCGCCTACGAACCCCAACATCGTCTTAGCGAAATTAAGGCCAGGCCAGGATGTTCATGTGGAGCTGCATGCGATGAAGGGTGTCGGGAAGGATCATGCAAAGTATTGTCCCGTCGGTGAGCAAACACTTCCATGTCTGACACGCCTTTTTCATTCTGTGAGTTAGCAACTGCGTCCTACCGCCTACTACCGCACATCAAAATCAAGAAGCCTATCCCCCCACATTTAGGGGAGAAATTCCAGAAGTGCTTCTCGCCTGGCGTTATTAAAATTGATCCCCGAACCAAGGAGGTTTCCGTCGACGAACACAATGTGCGCAAGGACACTGTGAGCCGAGAGGTCCTCCGGCATCCTGAATTTAAAGACTCAGTTGAACTAAGCCGGGTGCGAGATTTCTTCCTTTGTGAGTTCATTTTTCTCCCTTCCTCTTTAACTTCTCAGACTGAGTTATTGGTTCAAAGTCAACGTCGAGTCAGAAGGCGCATACTCCCCGGAGAGAATGTTAACCGAAGCCATCAAGGTGATGCGAGAAAAACTCAAGAAAATTCGCCAAGCCGCAGAGGCGTTGTACGATCAGGTGGAGGTGGATGGTGATGTGACGATGGCAGACGTATGAATGATTTGTGTCGTATTTTGTCCGGCTGAAAGCTGGCTGAATATACCTTTCTTCTCGAGTGTAATGGTCACTTCTTGCCTTGTGAGCCTCACTCATCACAATGGCCCCTGCCTTCACTTACACCAGCCTAGCCATATTATTGCTATGTACTTACCACGTTAGAACTTTTGTCAATTTATTGTTATTATAGCCGTTGGCCACTGCGCCTTTTGCCAGCTTTTTTCAAAGGACATGAAAGCGCACTCTAGGTACGTTCAATCTTTGGAAGCTTTTCCCGATCATTGGTGACATACCCTCCGACTTCTGAGTGAAGTTTTGAAGTAGAGACTCGTTGGCTTCAAGTTGGCTTGCATGTTTGCTTTACTTTTTGGTTAATTTTGCCAGAATACTGTGCTACTTAAATTTGAACAACCCAACTCGATACCTGGGAATCAACTAAGTGTGCTCTTCTGTGCTCGAACCGTCAACGAACTGTAGTACCACAATAGGGCCCTTCAGCAATTGCAAGTCAATTGCAGGAAGGAAAAAAAAGTTCAAGTTCCCACGGAGGCTGAGAGATGTGTTGTCAATTACCGCCAGAAGTCTTTACCCAGGCTTTACCGATCTCCTCTATCTCCCTTCTTTCCAACTCAACGTTCCTTTGTTCATGAGAGCTGTAAGCAAAACCACTTCTCTGAGTTCTCTCATCGTTCCCGCTCACACTCCCACCAACAGCTCGGGTGGTCATAACATGGATAACCAGAACCCCTCACTCATTTGCATCGGTATATTGGTGCTCTCTAGTGGTGTCTTATTGGTGAGTATATCTTCCGGCTATCTGTATGATGACTCCCTTCATCCTTGTTCTTCGAGCTATGGGCCAACCTTCGGGTTACGCGCCGTGGTAACGACGATATCCTTGGGTCAGGGTACACACCCCTGTACTGAACCTTTATCCATACACAAACCCGTCGAGGCTTAAATTTTGATCTTTCTCTTCCAGGTTTATACATTGTTGATTATTTGGTCACCACCCCCCATAATCACCCATGAATCGGAAAAGAAGTACCGATCTCATTCATCGACGAAACCCCTACCTCTCACCCGACTCGACGAGCCAAGCAAGGTTGATTTGACGGTTGTAGTTCCTGCGTACAATGAAACCGAACGTCTTCCTGCGATGATGGCTGACACCATTGGTCACTTGAGCTCATTGAAGACAAAGCGGACTTTTGAAATTCTCGTCGTCGATGATGGGTCAAACGACGGTACCTCGTCCACAGCCTTAAAACTGGCAGCCAAATACCCAAAATATGACATCAAAGTTGTCACCCTGGAGAGAAACATTGGAAAGGGAGGTGCCGTTCGACACGGGATGTTGTACGGCGGAGGCGAACGCCTCTTGATGGCGGATGCGGATGGTGCAAGTCGGATGGAGGACCTAGAGCTGCTATGGAAAAGCATGGATGAGATCGCTCCCAACCACGGACCCGCCGTGGTCGTTGGAAGTAGGGCACATCTAGTGAAATCCGAGGCGGTTGTCAAGGTTAGTTTCACCCCCAACCATGCTATAGCACAAACTAACCTCTACCGTTTCGCCAGCGCTCATTCCTCCGAAACGTGCTCATGTATGGTTTACACACCGTCTTGAGGATCGTAGGCGTGGGTCATATCCGGGACACCCAATGTGGTTTCAAGCTATTCTCGCGATCAGCGGCTCAGCAGATATTTCCCGCCCAACATCTGCCGACATGGATATTTGATGTGGAGCTCCTGCTTCTAGCCAAACAGCTCCGTATTCCGGTGTCTGAGGTGCCAATAGAGTGGCATGAAGTGGCAGGGAGCAAGTTGAATGTCGTCACAGCATCTGTGCAGATGTTGAGGGACCTGCTTATTGTGAGGGCTAACCACCTTCTCGGACGATGGACAGCTTCGCCAACGAAGATGAAATCGGACTGATAGACTGTCGTTGTATTACTTAGAACCGTATACCCGGCCATCTAAATGCACATTCAAATTGATATTTTTGCGACCTCAGCTGGCGTCTGCCCCCGGAACACCCCCTACAAGTTATTTATATATATATGTTTCTGAATCACTCTGTCCTTTCTCCTTTGACTCACTACGAACAAATGAGTGCCGACACAGTTTTCCCCCTCATTTTCAGAATTCCAGATGAGATTCTTGCATATATTTTTCTGCTCAATACGAACAGTCCAGTTGAGCGGCTCTGGGATGAAAGTTCACAAGAGTGGAGAAAACATCACGATCCCGGGCTGACAACGAGGTATTCATCTCAAGTTTGCCAAAGGTGGCGTGAAGTCGCGCTGGGGTATTCTACACTTTGGGGTCGGATTATACATCATGCTATCGAAGAACCCCTTTTTTGGATTGACAAAGTTCTCCAGCGATCTCGTCAAACAACCCTCGAATTAGGTCAAGCCTGCGAGACTGGACAACTCGTGTATCCCAAGCTCTCTGCTCTGAATCGTGTAATGTGCCATGCCCAGAGGATCAAGACTGTCAATATGTCGCTGGACTCACAGGCAGCTTGGCAGGTAATTTGTGAAGGCATTTTGCAAAGTCGAGCCCCAAGCCTTGAATATTTCCGGATCCATCTCATCATCAGTAATACGAAGATATTTGCTGGAACCCTTTTCTCCGACGACGCTCCTTGTTTGCGCCGACTTCATCTCCGTTATTGTCTTGTCGATCTCCCTCCACCTACTCTTTCGAACCTCAGGGAGCTCTCAGTCGCAAGCGTTGCCTTTGGGGCACCAACGATCGATGGCTGGCTCAGTATTTTGGAAAACATGCCATTCTTATGCTGGCTCATTATTGAAAAGGCTATTTCAGGCCCGTTTCCAACATGTCCTCTTCCCAACCCACATCTTCCCAACCTCTCATGCTTGGCCATAGACGGCGATTTCCGCGATTGCATGGCATTGATGAATAACATCACCTATCCTCCTCTGCGGGAGTTGAGGCTCAACTGTGTGGATGTCACTTTAGGATCCACATTCAATCATCTTTTGTCCGTGATTAAGAAAAGGCTCAGTCTTTGGCCTCGGCATGCTAAAACAGAGCACCAATTTACCCTCGACTGTCTAGAGGACAATGTGATGCATATAGGGAGCACAATGCCGCCCGGCGGCACATGCAGTGTCGGCAAATCCGAAGCAACTGATGACCCGAGTTCACAACACCCTGTGATGTCGATTCATTTGGTTTTTGTCAACTCCGAAGAGATGGACTCCTCTGTCTTTCCCTTTCTGCTGCTTTTCGACTACATTATGATTGCAGGGCTAGAGGGCCGGTTTCGTTTGCTTCGAGTTTAACCGTCGTGCAATATTCAAGCTGAAGCCAAGCTGACGGCCTGGTTTCTTTTGTACAATACTGGCATTGAGGAGTCTTGGCCCCAATGGAAGCCATCGGATCTTTCTTACAGTCACATCGACCTCATAATACGGCGGGGAATCTCCAAACGATTGACAGGAGTGGATTTGCACAATAGTAGCGAATTCACGGAATTAGACAGCGGGCAATAATGGCCCCGCTTTGGAGACAAAACTTTTAGTTGACTGAGGCTTACTAGCGCGCGCTATCTCGCGGCTCACGTTGATCTGAGAGCAGTTTAATAACAACAAAAAATAATAGTTTGGGACTTCGTATATCACCAGTATATAATAACATCCTCCACGCTCATCATCGCGGATCGCTCGTTACATTTATGAGGTCCTTTACCTCGACGCATCCAAATATCGATTCAAAGTTGTCAGTGATACACGTACGTTGGACGCACAATCCTAATCTCAACACAAAGCAAAGTAAATGGTTTATCTCAAAATTCCAACTTGTTAGATTCGCAGGAAAAGCTATGTTCAATAAGTATAAGTAACACGCAATTAGTAACTCGAGCAAGAAGGTATGTATGCAAATAAATAAGTTAACATGGTTTCACCCCTTCACCGCAAAGCAGGTGCCCACTTCCAATTGACAACTTGGATCGCCCACTCCGTCTCCACGGGCCCGTCATCACTTGACCGTTCAACAATCTTCACGCCCTCCCAAGTGAAGCGGAACATGGACTCTGTGAGATTCCGTTGCAGAACCTGAACTGGCTGATGTGGTGGTGGTGGTGGTGGTGGTGGTGTGACCTTTTCGTTCTCTTTAGTACTTGGGACTATCGAGCTATCAGAGGCGGTGGTAGGTGGAGGCAGTGGTGGATGATCTTCAGGAACTGATGAGGTGCCGGGGACGTCGTCAGTCGACACTTTGGGAAGTGTAGCTGGCGGGTGTGGAGATGACTCTGTAGAATGAGGAGAAGTGTCACCGATATCCAAGGGTTGACTATCTTCCGGTGGTTCGACGGTATTGGAGGGGGTTTCAGTTTTAGAGTTGACATCCTCAGCCTTGGTATCCATCGCAGAGCCCGAACTTGAGATTGCCTCTGTGGGCTGACCTTCAAGCGTCGTTGATTCCGTCTGCGCAGCTAGCCCTTGCACGGGCACAACGTCTCCCATAACAACATCATCCACAACCACCACCGAATGCTCTCCATCAACAACAAGAACCGGATCCACCTCAACCACAACTTCCTTTTCCAAAATCAAACAAATGTCGTATTTGCGGCCCCCTTCGGTAGAGTCTACGCTAGGCGAAAGAAGGTAGCTCTCTTTCACAGTTTCGAGGATGAGTGACCTTTGTAATTCGTTGGTGTTGTTGTTGTCGGGACTAGAGCCCGCGTCAGGGTCTTCTATTCTTCGACGTTTACGTGGTGGAGGAGATGGTTGAGGCGAAGGGAATAAGATCTCCTTGATGAGAGAAGGAACATATTTATATCTGTAGAAGGCAGAAAAAAAAGCCATCATCATCAAAATGCCTTGAGTAAAAAAGAAAAAAAAGTGCATACCCAATCCTCATATCACCCGTAATACCCACAGCAAACACCATATTCATCCTACTCATCAACTCACACTCCTCCTTCCAGTTCGTCAACCTCCTCGCAACGTGATCATCTTCCTCTTCCTCCTCCTCCTCAACTTCAGGAATAACATCCAAAACCGTGGCATTAGGCAGCCGTCGCAGAGGCCAACTATCCCAGCATCCTCCTCCTCCTCTCCTCCTCTTCCTGCTTGCAAGGCGCGCACAGGGTACGCCCAAAATGCTCGCTCGTCGTTCAGTGTACTCTAAAAGACGTTGAGAGCGATTTCGCCGACCTAGATTGGGGGAGGTGCGTGCAGTTCCCTTCTGAAAGAAAAAGTAAGAGGAAGAAAGACGATGAAGTTCAGCTGAAGTATTCACCTCCACAAACTCAACACCAACAATCTCAATAGCACTCCCATCATGTCCACTACCCCACGCAGCACTAGCCAATCCACGACCATCATTCTCAGGAACATCATCCTCCCCCTCCTGCTCTTGATTCAACGCGTCCTCCTCCTCTTCTTTACGAAGCAACCCCCTCCTCCCACAAACCCTCGTACACCTCTCCCCCCACCCAGCAATAAACCTCCCCACAACCTCCTCCTTCACAATACTCAGTGCCCCATCATCATCACCAGCACCACCACCAGCAGCGAAAATACTACCCACCCCAACACCCGTACACCTCAACACCCTAACATCAACCCTCATATCCCTTCCCATCTTCCGGGCTTTCGCAGCTCCACTCCATGTTACCCAGCCAGCGTGCACCGCACAGAGGAATAAATCAGAGTCGTCCGTGTATATCCGTCTGGGACGTTTGGAGGAGGAGGAGGAGGAAGAGGGCAAGGGCACTTCGAAGGGAGGCTTGTTATTGCTAGTCTTCCCAGAACTCCGTCTCCTGGACGAACTACGCCTCCTCCTCGACGTGGATTTACGGCGCGTGGGTCCGGTAAGACCTCCACCCCATATTCGTGGGCGCGTGGGCTTTTCGAGGGGTATATGACCGCACGGTATGATGATTGTCGCGCGCGTTTCCACGTCGACGGTGTATTGTTCGTCTTGAGCTAACTCTTTCTTCCCTTCCTCGGGCTTCTCAGGCTCAGGCTCCCATCCCTCCATCTTCTCAGTAACCACCTCCTCCTTCACCTTATCTTTCTCTTTTTCTTTCTCGTTGTCTTTCTCTTTGTCTTTCACCTCCCGAATCTCACCCTCCTCTCCATTATTCCCATTCCCATTCCCACTTTTCTCAACCTTCTCTTGCACCACCTCCATCTCCACATCCTTGCTATCGTCCTCCTTATCCCTCACCAACAACCCAGATCCCAAATCAAAGAAATAAGGAAACGGAACACGGGGATACACAAAGGTCCCCAAATCAACCTTCACCCTCGCCTTTGGCGCATCCTCACCCACCATCACCTCCTCCTCCTCTTCTTCTTGCGCCTCCTGTGCCTCATGCCACCCATCCCCATCAAGCATCTCAACATCTTCTTCATTACGATGCGTGTGATGGGGCTGTTGTTGATTATGATTCTGCGGCTGGTGGTGGTGGTGATGTTGGTGATGATGATGATGTACATGGTGATGATGCCCATGTCCGGGTCTATGAGCTTGCCGCTCATGCTGCTGGTGGTGCTGGTGCGCGTCAACATCCACTTTCCTCCCTCCTGCTCCTGCTCCCAAAGCAGCAGCATACATATCCCGTTCCCTTTCCCGTTCCCTCTCCCTCTCACGTTCCCTTCCACCACCACCACTCCGGCTTAGGCTTAGTGACCCCTTCTTTTCTCTCTCCCTTTCACGTTCGTGGTCCCCAGCACCCCGTTTAACATCCCTCTTCACACCATCCCCAACCATAATCCCCATCCCAATCCCACCGCCCATCCCAGGGCCAGGGACAGGGACAGGCGAAGACACCCTCGACAGGCCAGTGACGAACTGCGTGTGGAAGCGTGTCTGGAACTGCTGTTGCGGTGGCGGAGGAACAGCTGGAGGAACAAGTGGTGGATTACTTGATTGTCTTTGGGCGTGAGGACTTGGTGGGCGGCGTGGGCTTGGATGGCGTTGATGAGCGCGAGGACTTGGGCTGGGTGGTCTACGAGGACTAAGTGGTCGTTGATGAGCGCGAGGGCTGGGTGGTCTACGAGGACTACCCGGCCTCTGATGCACATGCACACGAGGAGGACTACCCGGCCGCTGATGCACATGCGCCCTTGGACTAGGATGTACAAGCGAATTGTGCGGACTCGCTTGTCTTGGGTGCGGAGGACTCGACTGGCGCTGCTGCTGATATTGCTGGGGATGTGGATGAGGAGGGGGAGGACTCGACTGGCGCTGAAGGACATGCTGCTCTCTCTCCTTGTCGCGTTGTTGCATGTGGACTTGTTCCCTTTCACGGTACGCATGCTGTTCGCGCTCCCTTTGGTGCTCACGATCCCGGTGTGTGTGTGGATGATGATCCCTCTCTCGCTCTCGCTCCCGGTCTCGTTCACGGTCACGGTCACGCGGGTGAAGCGGAAAGTCTTGCTGCTGGGTCTGATATTCTCGTTCTCTTTCACGCATGTGTTGTTCCCGATCCCTGTCTGACAATTCGCGTTCGCGTACTCTGTCCCTGTCTGGCAGTTCGCGTCCTCTGTCCGACAACTCGCGTCCTCTGTCAAGCTCACGCCCTCTGTCAAGATCACGTCCTCTATCAAGCTCGCGTCCTCTGTCGAGCTCACGTCTGTCAGACATCTCCCGCTCCCGCAAATCGCGAGCCCTATCTCGTTCCCTCTGCTGCTGCACGATATGCTCCCTCTCTCGTTCACGAGGATGCATCCCAGGAGGACCCAGGTGAAGATGATGTGGAGGAGGAGGAGGTGGTGGTCCCGGACGAGCCATGTGCATAGGACGCTCTCTTTCCCTGTCGCTACCAGCAGACAAAGGCGGGGGAGGACCGTGCCTGGTATCCATGCTGGGTGGGTACGTCCGATCCGCACCGTGCTTGAGGACCAAAAGTTCAGCAGCAGCAGGGGTAGCGCCTCTCTGTCCTGGACCACTTATGCTGCCTTGAGGTGGAGGAGGAGAAAGACCCCTATAGTCGACGGGTAAGGAAGGTCTATGTTGTTGCTGTTGTTGTCGTTCAGAAGCAACTGCGCGAATGATATCCATGTCCTCTCTATCTCTATCTCTATCTCGTTGTTCCCTCTCCCTCTCACCCCTTGCTCGTTGTTGATCGCGCTCAATGTGTCGTTTTTCGTCTCTGTATTCGTCTAGTGGATCGGTTTTCCGGACTTGTCGAGATGGTTGGGGTTGTGAAGGAGGTGGTGGAGGTTTAAGTGGGATATCATCTAGTTCAAGAGAGAAGAAGAAAAAAATGAATTTGATGGAATGGTGAGAGTAAAATCGAAACATACCAGGAGCACCCGTACCAGGCCCAGCAAGCGCCGTCTGTTTTCTCCTATCTCTCTCCGGCCAGTCCATGGGCGTAGTGGTGCGATCAACAAGACGAGGGTCTAGTTGAATACGAGAGTCGAGTTGTTGTTGAATGCGACTGTCTCCAACGATGGACGAGGAGGACCCCGGGTGATGATGATGCCAGGAACCGGGGGTGATCGGGGTCTCGATGGGGCAGCGAAGCGAGGCCATGGCTGGAGATGTTGTGTTGTCGTGAACGTGACGTGGGGTTGTTGTGGACGTGATGACGGGCGAGGGATGCCTTTGTCTTGTTCGTGGTGATAACGAGTCCGGAGGAGGAAAAGGGGCGGCGCTGCTCCGGGGTAGGTTCGGAGGGTTCGGCGGAGATGGACGTTGAGTGACATTGTTTGACCCTGTGCGAGCGTCGACGGTTGAGAAGGGGGGTGGTGCTGCTGCTGGTGGTGGTGGTGTGGGTGGATGTGGCTGATCTGTGCGGATGTACGGTGCTGAAGAGGAGGACCATTGAGATTGTCGGCGATCGTAAGGGGGCCAGTTGTCTTGTTGTTGAATAGGACGACGACGGTTATTTGAATCTTCAGAGGGGGAGTCTTGCAAGAGAGCTGCTACGTTCATTTTTTTTGGATGATGTGGGTGTAGAGAGCAAAGGCAGGCACGACGGTTCTAGTATCGTGTCAAAATAGAATTATGATCTAATTCAATCTTGGCGATCGATCCAAGATCTACAAAACACGTGGAACAGATCCATCGCAAAATATAACATCTCTATACAACAACTGTGCACTTCGATAACGGATACCCAATTGGTCTTTCATTGACACGCTCAACGCCCATTTATCCTCTCCACGCCTCAAACCCCAACCAGTTCAACTGCTGGTCGTCATCAAGGTGATATCGGGTTTAACCAACATTGAACTCAACGTATCGTGTCCCTGCACAACCTGAAGGATCAACGACAATCATGCGTAATCCCTGGTTGCTACTTCCTCCAGGCATCTCCGCCGTCCCCCACATCCTCCTCGAGTTCGGTTCGACTTCGTGGGTAGCCGTACTTAGTGGTGCGTTTCCCACTCCCCAACTCAAGGAATATGCACTTATATCTCAATCTTAGGTGTAAACAATCTCCCAAATTTCCCTGCATTCATCAGTTGGGGGGATGTACCGAACCTATCCAACTTGTCGACAGGCTGACGTCTTTTGGCACGCCTCACCGCCATTATATATCGATTCTCTACGGGTCCCGTCTCAGCAGGTCTCAGCCCCGGCCGCGTGATGGGTCCCTTACTTTCCCCCTCTGTACCAGAAGAGTCCGAATGGCCAGAGCCTGGTTTAGAAGATGTAGACAACGACGGTGAAGAAGCGTCCGCCTCACAGATTGAAGAGTCGTTTGAGTTTATGAAGCGAGGAACCTCTGAAATATGAACAGCCTTCGTTACTTAGTTATGCACGTAAGGCAAGATGTATATCCCTGGAGTTTCTAGACCGAATTCAAGGTATTTGCTGAACGAGGTCCATTTCGAGGTCATCACAGTCCATTGCATTCTAATGGTATTCATTCGAATTACTTACTCTGTGCACCGTAACATTCAACAAAAAACTCGAAAAGTAGAGATTCTTCGTTCATAAAATGCAAATCACACGAACTTTGACTTTGACTTGAACCTATCTCCAGTATGGACCTGGTATGGACGAGAAGAAGAGAGCGAAAAACGGACAGATTAAGCATTTAATACAGTTTCAATAACTCACAGAGCTCGCCCACCGTTCCTTCTCCTTCTTCGATAAACAAAGTCCAAGTCCTCTAAAATTCGATGGTCACCAGCTTCGACGTCATGAGACTCGCAACGTGAAGACATGAATAGTTACAGGGAAAGGGCAAGCTCCAACCTTTTCAAGGAGTAGCAGGGCCGAGTCTTTTCCCAGCATCATCCTCCGTAACCAGAAAAAAAAAAAAAAAAAAAGTCTTCAAAGTTCGCAGGACGATGCTTCTAGAATGTGCGTGCTCGGGGCAGGCTACCAGCTGCATATGGGAGGGCATATCCTACGTCGTTAGGTTAGACTTTGGAATATGTTAGTTCAGCGAGTGTCCGTACGCACCTTGATCAACCCGTGTCCATCTCCACAAACCTCGACACAAGGGAAGGGGAAATAACATGGGTCCTCCAAGAGTCACTCGATCACTTTGAGCATTATTTCTTCGCCGCAAGAATGGATTCACGGAAGCAAGCCGTATGCATATCAGGCTTCACAGAGTTGAAACCAGCAAGCGATGCAGGGACTGGCTGGGTCGTTTATCCTGCTCCACACGAAAGCCAACTTTTCACTGCTCGGTAGGTTCTGGAAAAGACGGTTCGTTTTCGGAGGCACCGGGCTGGAAGTATCATAGAAAACCAGCGTCTTTTGTTTGAAACACGCCAGAGGCTATAGTTTCTTGTTCGACGGGACTAGTCTGATGCAGGAGGTTGCGAAGGGAAAGAAGAGAAGAAAAAACGGCCAGATTAGGCGCTTGCTACAATTTCAAAAACTCACAAGAGCTCCCCCCCACAGCTTTATACAATGCCATTCACTCCAAGTCCCAAGTCCTTCAGAAATCGATTGGCATGAGGTCAGCTTGACATGAGGGTCACAACCTGAAGACGGGGGAGCTTCAGCGAAAGGCAATCTTTTGCTCGCGGTACGAAAGTATCATCCTCCGCCGGGAATTCGCCGTAACCAGAAAGGACTGGAGTCAAGTGTGCATCAGGCTTGACGAAGTCAAAACTAGCAAGGAATCATGGGCTGGCTGAGTCCTTTGTCCTCTCCAACACGAAAGCCAACTTTTCACCGCTTGGTAGGTTTTAGGAAACACCTTTCGTTTTCGGAGGAGCCGGGCTCGGGGAACGAACACGCCAGAAGGTTGTATTTTTTTTTTATTCGACGAGACTAGCCAGATGTAGAAATGGCGAAGGGACTCCTACGGGAGATTACGAGGATCCGATGCCTCTTGCGCTGCTTGGTATAAGATTGAGCTGTATGAAAGTAAAGACTCGCGGGGACGTACCATCTTTTATCACAGAGTTATCAGAAGGCTCTACTACAGCGAGCCGTCCTTTTGACCGTATATGGAACGAAACAAGCCGCGGTTGAACTGAGTGCAGGGGCGTCGAGATTGATGTTAGAATGAGGACTACTTAATCCAAAATTAACACGTGCAAATAATATTGAACAACGGTCAACCAAGGTCGTGAACGGTGACTGGAGCTCGAGAACTTTCTTGTTCTATACCATCATGGCCTTTGAATAAGGGGAGTGCCCCACCCAAGTATGTCATGTCATCAAACCAGATCCTGAATGTACTGACCGTGCCCTTAGCAAGAGCTCAATAAAAACAAATCTACGCGTTGCCACGTTGATGCTGCAGCCATCCCAACATCCACTTTACGAGCGCGGCCTTCAGAAAGCACCTCGAGGCTCGTGGCGTTATAATGGGTCATACTAATTAGTGAGAACATTTAGCAAGCAATCGTTACACGACTCGGATGACACGGGCTGCGTCAAATCCATCTTTCTGGCATCCCCTGGAAGAAGCCCTAAGAAGCCTCATTTCTTCATAAATGTCATGGAGCGGCTCTTGAACCCCGGATGACATTTATATATCACGATGCCAAGTATCTTTGATGGGGGCGATCACATTTCTCCGAGAAATAGGGTCGGTTTGGTAAAATGGACTGAGGGGCGATCCAACTCCGTTTTCAACGTTCTATCTGCCCCCAACGTCCAAAGTCAATGAAACTTAGTGGAAGAGTACGTACGGTTCTCTATGGTACGTTTTACGCGAATTCCTCCGTCATACTCTTCGTTAATTAAAAGGAAAAAAACATTAGTTCTCCTGACGATCTCGCATTTCTTTGCCATAACTCTGACGTTGCTCAGGTTACACCACCGTCGACGAAGATACTACCTGTGGTGGGATGACTGGATAGCTTTTTCGGCCCTCATACCCGACATTGCGTTGGTGATCGTTCTGTGGATGAGCAAAGCAGACCTTGGTCCGTCTTCATTGAGGTGAGGTCAAGTGGCGACTAAACGAACCTCTTCAAGATTCCCCAACGCAAACTCCGCCTGCACAACTCGTAAGGTATTTGATTGGTACATTCATGTTTACCTGGGTCGTATGGTAAGTTCCAACATTTGTGGACATCAACAAGGTTCCTGACGTTTTTGTTATTCCAGGACAAGTCGAACGAGTCTCGCACTTGCATTCGCAAGGATCTTCGCTCCAAATGAACCATTCCGCCGTTTCGCAATAGGGATGGCCATTTTGTTTGGCTGCACCGCCATTCTCGAACTCTCCGTAATATCCTCGCAGAAATCATCATGGACGTCCTTTTCTTCAGCCGAGTCGTCCCTCACCTCCCCTATGCACATTGCTGGGTTTGTTGGTCAGTACGCATGACCTACCCCTTTTTGAGTGCCATGTCTGAATGCATCACCAGCTTCTCTCTCAAGTGACGTTCTTTTGGTGGGTGCTCCGCTCTACGCATTCAGAGAAACACGGCTCTCTCGTCCAAGACGATGTCTGATATTGAGTGGGTTCGCATCAAGCGTGTTCACGACCATCTCGTCAACAGGAACAACCTTGTTCACATTGGCACCTGCAAGTTGGAACCCGGCGCGTAGTGAACTTCTGGCCCTGTCGGCTTGTTTAGAGGTGATATCCTTCATCTGTCTCATCAAAGTCTCTACTAACCCTTGCGTTAGGCTTCGATTGCTTTGATCGTGTGTAATTTCCTGGTGGTCATCAGCTACATCTACAAGATTTTTCATCCTGACGAGCTGCCCCAACCACGACGGCGTACGACTGAAATACACAGTACCGATATCGGACGGAGACCGTCGTTGACGCTGCCACCTACGCCGCTGGAGTTGACCCAGTTTTCAGATTCGTTCACCCGAAGTATCATGACTTCGAAGCCTGACTCCACGTTCGATGTTCGAAGTGCTGCAGCTTCTACTCGGACAGTCTAGTAGGCGAAGGGATCCCCGGGTTCCTTTCAAAAGACCGCGCCCGTACGCTATTCGGAGGATTATGCCACACGATCGATTTGAGAGAGTGGTTAATGACGGCCACTCCAGACTTTTGTACTACAGTTCATGTCAATTCATATGTGTAATTGCATTTTTAATCATCGCTTCGATACATATGGGTGGAAAGAAATATGTTGGTATACAATAAGTACGACAAAAATAGTGACTTGTTCCCCATGAAAACGTTACTTGGAGGGAGTGAAAAAGCGAACACCCTCGCCGTCAGCCACACCAATCAACTGAGCACGTCCAGATTTGACGAGTATGGCAATTGCTTTGCGGAGGAGTGGTACTGGAATGTTCGACAACGGTGATTCGACCGGCGGGTCGGTGATATCGTAAAAGGTCAAAATCGTGTTCAGCTGTCCTGTTGATGTCGCCTGGCATGAGGAGTATCAAAACCTAGTTACTGTGATAACAGATGAAAGTAAAGTTATACCCATTCGTGAAGGACATCTGCCCACTCCTCCGGCAAGCGCCAATACAGCAAGACCGATCGTGTTTGCTTCGGAGGGTCATACGCAGCAACGTTCTTTGCCACCATAGCCTCCAAGATGCTTGACAGATGCGACGGCAAGACTTTCCCTGGTTTACAAAAAGAAGAGATCAAGGCCACTTGCATAACCAGCGAAAACAAAGAATAGCACAAACGATTTATTGGTTCATTCCGCAAGATCTCGACCCAATCACTACCCACGGTTTCAGTGTCTTCAACTCGAAGTACGAAAAGCTTCCTATGTCGAGCGTAGGTCAAGATCAAGCGTATCCATTGTTCTGTGGCGATGGATTGAGTTGCGGGGTTTGGTTGTTGGCTAAGATCTGTGGATTAGCTACGACGCGAGGTAAGGCCGAATGTGAGATCTCACGTAAAGAATGGGGGTGCCGAGTGTATGGAAGGCAATAAGAAGCCTACGATGAACAAGAAAATGGTAAGGAAAACGGCATCTCAGGAATGCAAACATGGAGAACATACCGGTTGTTGTGGTCTGGGTAGAGAGTGCCATTACGTCACATGCCTGACAGTAGTGTTTCGCGCATCCGATGGCTTGCACCTAACGTAGCGGCGCTATATTTCACTGGGATTTTCACTGGAACCCTTTTCTCCGACAACGATTCCTCCTTGTGTCGACTCCCTTACTCAATGTTTCGTCAATCTCCCCAGCTATTTCAGCCGCGTGCAACAGGCCGTAATTTCCTGGGTTGGTTTTGCGAATATTTCGACCTTCCGGAGAACTTGAATGACCAGCCAATGCCAATGCTGCTTCCAAGGCACACAGCTAGCATGAACGTATTCACATTTCACAGAAATGTAAACCAAAACGAAACGCTATTCACTCATCCGTAACTTAACGCTGAAACTGCTCTAGAGTCTCAACTAACGCGAGTAAGTACCCAAAGATAACCCTAGGCCCATTACAACTGATTAACCAGCTGCTCAGTATATTGTACGGCTCTTTCCCATATATCGAGACCACCTTTGGTTTCCTCGAGCCATTCCGTCTGAGCCTCCTGGGACAACATTGCATATCCGTAAAGCCTCTCCTCTGGCTCTGACATACTCCTTTTCATCTTGATATATTCTTCCACATCCCGTCGTTCCTGTTCAGAAAACTTGTCAATTATAACAATCATGACCAACATCTTTAGATGTTGGGCGGCATCCAAGACTTGGGGGAGAGTCTCTTCTATTACGTCGAGGTCCAAGCGATCACACGGTAGAGCGAGATGAGTCAGGAAGCTGAGTCGTGAAAGAGGGATTGCTGGCATGTAACACACTGTCCAGGAGAATTGCAATCGTGTTATCCTAGGGATAATAGGAATAAAGGAGCCCGGGTGTGTCATAGTCTGAAATAAATACAATGTCTCGTAAGCGACATGTTCTTGAATAATAAACAGGAGATGCAGGTCCTGTTTCCGCGACATAGCCTCATTTGAGAGTGGTATTAACGCGGTTGGACTGGAGGCATGAGCCAAGCACGGGAATGTATGGCAACAAATTGCAAGATTTTTGAGGTTAGGACAGTTTTCGAAAATGCAAACAAATGATTCCGCAAAATGGTCCGTCCAAATGTTTTGAACAGTCGCGCCTGGGACCAGTTGGGAAGGTTGGTGGAGAATGTTTCCAGCAGAAATCTGTAAGGCTCGGAAGTGACTGCTTGGATTTGTTATTGTCAACGTAACAAATAAATGGCATTGTGCCAGGGCTCTCGTCCAAGTAGATAATTCGCATATACTCTGGCAGAAGTCTTCTGAATCAGCTGCTGCGAAATGAAAGATGATCTCGATAAGCTCGTGGGGGAGTTGGATGGGGTCAAAGCATTCTATCTTCGGCTGGACAAGGCTGAAGTTTCGCAGAGGGTTTGTGAGTGTAAGCATGCATATAGGCCAAGCTGAGACGTACAAGTGCTGATGTACCAGCCTCTCGGTACATTGAATGGCCCTTTGCCAGATACTGGGGCCGCCCTTCGTTTCCTCAAACCATTCCGTTTTGATGTCGAAGGAGAGGGTAGAGTACGCGTAAAGCAAAGATCCCTTCAATTCTGCGCATGTCTTTTCTCCAGTATAAAATTTTCTACCTTCCGTCGTTCCGCTTCATCAAGACTATGTACCATAAGGATTACAACCAACATCTCGAGATTTTTGGCGCTCTTCAAGAGCCGGTCGATCCCATCGAATGTATGGCATCGCATGTCACAGCACGGTAGAGCGAGATGGGTAAGGAGACTGAAGCTTGAAAAATGGAACAATCTGTAGTCCCATGTTTGAGAAAATTGTAGTCGCTTTATCTTGGAAAAAATAAAAGTATTTTTGGCTGTTGAAAATAGATCTGCGGTCCGACCATTTTTTTTATCGGTGATAAAGAAAAGATGTAGTTCCTGTTTCTGCGATATTGCTTCCTTCGACAGGCGGGCCAGACGCACGAACGTATGGCACCAAATTGCGAGGTTTCTGAGGTTGGGACAGTTTCTGAAAATGTTAACAAACTTTGATTCCTCATGATCAATTGAATGGTCCATCCAAATATTCTGAACGAGTGCACCAGGGGTTAGCTGGGAAGGTTGGCTGAGAATGTTCTCAGTGGTAATCTGCAAGGCTCGGAAGTAGCTCTTTGTATCAGTTATCGTCAGGGTATCAAATAGATAACATTGCGCCAGGGATCTGCTCCACGTAGACACTTTGCAGATGCTGTAGCAGAAATCTTTTGAATTTGCCGCTGCGAAATGGAAGATGGTCTCAATAAGATCGCGAGGGAGTTGAATGGAAGGAGAGCCTTCTGTTCTGGATCGATGTCTAACAGATCCGGGGTTTTGAGGGGAGTCTGTAAGTGTAGGCATGCTTGTGACGATAATATTACTCAATGCGATCATCTTATTGCGATTATGTGCTGATATGTAAGATCACGTCATGAATTATGTAAACTATGAATTTTTATTTTATTGTAGGTAGATGTAAGGACTCGGATATGTGATATATTAGTAGCAAGATAGTCCGTGTACAGTGAACTTGCATACTTGTATAATGCTTAGCGTATCTAAAGACGGTTCATCCAATGTCCATCTATTCCCCCTCCAATCAATCAAACACCCTCCCAACCCCACCACAAGTCGTACATGTCTCCCTATCAAACAACATAAAACTAACGCTCCCCCTCCCATCACACCGCCAACAAAGCCTCCCACCCAACCTTGGGTCTCCAGAAGTATACACCACCGCACCAGGGGGCGGACCATTCCGACTGGGGTAGGATATGTTGGGCGGGTAGGGTACGTTTGGGTTGGGTGTAGATGGGTGGGGTACGTTTACGTTTGGAGGGTAGGGTACGGGAGGTGGTGGTGGGGAGATGTAGGTGGGGTTGTATCCGCTAGAACTACTAGCCTGAGAAGATGCGCCAGTCCCAGATGGCGGACGAGAATTTTTCGTTAGGGTGTTCCTTGAATGTGAGCTGTGACTCTGCGCAGGGAGCGGACGCTGGAAGTTCCCCGTCGCGTCAGGGCCGGAGAAAGACGCGTATACGAGTGGGCCCGTGAATGGTTTTGCGTGCTTCCCCCAGCACTTTTTGCATGGGTTTAAGGGGTCGTTGGATTTGTAGCCTGTGTTGTGGCCTAAAGCAAGAAGAGATGATGGTTAGTAAACTATAAAACGGCTAAGGGGAAAGAATAGAGAAGAACGTACATTTATTACACTCATATCCTTTCGGGTATACCAACAACTTCCCATTGTGCAATAACGGATGCCCAGGCGTAGGTGTTGTTGTCGGTCGACCATCATCCCCGCCCCAATCGGTCGCTGCCCCGTTTCTACTAGCACTGCTACTCCCTCCACTCTCGCTCACGGACCTCGTGTGCCGTACCCCCGACTCAGACCCAGACGCGGACCCTACATCGGGGTTCGACACCGCCTCCAATGGTCCAGCGGCATAAAAATCCCTTGCGAACTCGGACGAGTGCCTCCTCCTAGGCGGGAGAGGCGGTGTCATGCTATCAGATACAGGTCTCGTAAAATTAGTCACAGAAGACGAAGGGTGTCGGGGTGGGGGTGGCAACAAATTCGATCGGGGTGGTAAATTCGGCGGGGGATGCAGTGAAGAGGAAGACGAGTGTTGTAGCGAGTAAGCAGGGTGTTGTGGCGGAGGCGAAGCAAGGTGACCCCTTTGACTTTGACCTGGGTACGAATTCCACTGTCCATTACTTCCCGTACGCTGAGAGCCAGCCAACGCCTCATTCCGCGCAGCAACAGCACTGTTCCTCGCCATAGTCAATTGTGTTGTTAATTCCCCCGTTATCTGGTTTATTAAAGACATCAGACTCCCAGGTGATCGTTGGCCAGATTGTGGTGGTGGCGAAGTAGGTGCTGCAAGCCAGTTTGAATTTGATTGGCGGGGTTGTGTAGGGGCTGGCTGAAATGGTCGTGAAGGACCATATTCTACGGTCGTCTCGCCGGTGTAGGCATCCGGGCGGGGGCTGTATGCGGGTGGTTCTTCGAGATCTTCTTGCGTAAGATGATCTCGGAAAGACGGGGCTGAGGTAGTGTTGGACGTCGGTGCTGGTGAAGACTGGTCGGCCATGCTGATAGGAGGAGGATGTGATCGCTCAGGGACAGTTTGCGGAGTGGTCGAGCCTGAAGTCGGTGCGGCTAACGATGAGGAGTTGGAAGAGCGGAATGGGCTGGCTGCGGCATTGAGAGCCATAGATTTAATCATCGACGTTGAGAGTAGAAGTGTTAATACTCACCGCAAGTCTTGCGCAAGACGGTCTGCTCACTGTGCAGCGTGCTTGGCGATGATGCCTAGGCAATGCACCGCAGGTGTTGGTCAGCACCGTCCGTTACAAACAACTTAGATTATGTATTTAGAAGAGATGCCGCTAAGCATCCCTGTATAACCATGGGTGTCAAGTACACTGCGAATCATCTGCACTACCACCCAGAAACCCTCAACTCCTCCAAAGCTTCCCCGACCTCCAACACCAACTCGTCCGTCCCCCACTGTCCAACGACGCTGATACCAATGGGCCACCCATCGTCGAGCTCATCCACCTGTCCCTGCGCTTTCCTTTCCGTGTAGTTACGTATGGGAACATTGAGTGCAGGCAGCCGAGCAAGTGACGCTGGGACTGTCAAAACGTCTTGCACGTACGCATCAAGGCTAGCATCGTCATTCACATCAGTCTCGGTGGTCGGAAGTGGGGGCGCAGTTCTAATGGCTGAAGGATGGACCAGCACGTCTACCGTTGTTTCCAATGGGTCCTTGGTGTGAGTGGATGGGGAATAATAGTCTGGAATGGAGAATACACTGTTAAAGTCGTTTTTGACTAGCTGACGGACTCTCTGTGCCTGGAGGAAGTAATTGTCGAACGCACTGTTAAGTGGATGTCAGTAGGGGAGATCAACGAAAGTCTTAACGTACTCGGCTGTCAGAGCGTAAGTTCCTAGTAGAATACGTTTTTGCACTTCATGGCCGAAACCTGCACTACGCGTGTAAGCGTAGATACGAGACGTTTTGCGCAGGTCAGCTCCATGTGGTGGTGAGACGCGAGTCCCTAAGGATGTGAGTCAGCTCATGAGCAAGGAAATGACGACAACACAAACCATATTGAATCCCGTCATAACGAGCCAGGTTGCTGCTCGCTTCCGCGCTTGCGAGGACGTAGTAGGCACTTAGGGCATAGGACGTAGATGGCAACGTTACAGGAACAACGATAGCTCCTTGTGATTTCAAAGACGATATAGCCCTGCGAACGGGGCCCAGAATAGTGGGGGATAGTTCAGACGGGAAGTACTCCTGTTATATATTCAGTTTAAGGACGTAGAAGAGTTGACAGCCTACCTGTGGAATACCTATTCTTATCCCATCTAACCTTGTCCCTGGCCGTCTATTCCTGCGCAGTCGATGAAGCCCTTCTTGAACAGACTTAGATGCCATTTGTCGGACGTCATCAGTTGCGGCTGTGGGGTCTTTCTCGTCATATACCGAGATAAAATCTGTAAATGGTTTGTATCAGTAACATAGGGCGGGTTACTGGAAAGATCTCACTGAAAATGCGTTTCGCATCGGATACATTAGCCGCCATTACTGCAACGCAATCCAAGCTATCAGCAAATGATACCACCCCCCATCTAGTCACAAAATAAGCACCGTTCCAGCTCTCAAAAACATGAGCTCACTGCACCTGCTGACAAGTCCATAGGACGGCTTGAAGCCCACAATACCACAATACGACGCAGGCAAACGAATAGAACCACCTGTATCCGTCCCTAGCGCACTGTCACGACACTTTTCGTGAGTGAAGTTTGTAATGTGAACATTAGAAATGACCACTCACGCAACGCACATACCGGCAGCCACGGCTGCTGCACTACCACCAGAGCTCCCCCCCGCACACCTCTTCTCACGCTCAACCCAAGTAGTTCCAGACGAATAGGAATGAAATGGATTCACAACGGGCCCATGAACCGAGTGTACATTCAACGATCTATAACCACGGTCACTAAGAATGCTTCTAAGTATGATTGAGAAAAACGGGCGTACCCCATGCCAAACTCATCAAGGTTCGTTTTCCCAATGATATCAGCTCCGGCTTTCCGCAAAAGTTTAACGACAGTCGCGTCGAATGGGGACACGAAGTCTTCGGAGATGTTACAGTGTGAGCGCGACAAGGAAATAAAATACAAAGAGGTGAACACACTTTGAAGCATAGCTGAGGAACATGTTGTTGGGGAGTCCGTAGTTGCTATGTTATCCTTAATTGCGATAGGAATTCCCGCTAAAGGTCCATCCCCAAGAGGTTGTGGTGGTGTAATGTGAACAAACGCGTTGACGCTGGGGTTTTTCTCAGCGATTACTTGGCGCCATTTCCCCGTTTCTGTGGAATATGTGCGGTATTTGGAATGAAGACGACGCAGGAGGGTCCATTTCCGCGTTACATCTCCTCGCATTGCCAGAGATGGACGCAAAGTTCAAGAACGTTGCCTACCATTAGTCATCAAACTCTCCCATCATCAGACGCGTCTGCTTGTGGCCATCGCAGGTCGTTGGAACCGCACTTCTGAAACCTTGGGTGCTTCAAGGTGCAACATAGTTCTGGTGAAAACTTTAATCGATTTCTAACTCTGCTAAACTCATTTCAACAGACTCTCAGCAATGCTTTCTCCGGTTGTTTCGGGGGACGCGCTTCAGGACAGCTCAGGACTTACTTTAGCGAATGACCTGAAAGTGACCTATTATGCGTAACAACATCTATCGAATTGGTTTCCGGGACAAAACGCAGCTCCCTCAATCCCAGTCATCAAGGTCGATCCCAAGCGGAACCTAGTATATTCACAAGAAACATCAGACACCGTCAACGATAACAATATCGGAGGGCCCACCGCAGATATTTCATTTTCGATTTGCACCGCCAGCATTTGTGAGAAAGCATCCAGTTCTTCAGGGGCCCTTGTACGACATGTTAGGCAAGAATCTGCCTTTGCAAGTGCCTTCCTTCTCACATCGTACTTTTTCACAGTTTCTCCCCTCGGACGATTTAGAAGTTCCTCCGCGGTATCATGGATCCAATCTATCCACCATTTCCGAACCGCTGGGTAAAAACTATCCTCTGGATCCGCCTTAGGGCAGATCTGACACGTTACCCACACCCAATCATCTTCCTGGTCCAGAAGCGCAGACTGTAATGCAGCCCGAGTACTTGCAACTTCCCCACACACTCTACGGTACTCTTGTAGCCGATGATATGTGGCGGCCGAGATGTACGCAAGCTCCGCCACAAAGGGGTGGTCCTTCGGCATCTGTAACGTGTTTTTGGCTGCCAATCTCACTTCCGCAGCCCAGCCATACCGATGCGCAATAGCAAATACTCGCAGAGGCTGCGACTCGACGAAGCGTGGTTCGATAAGCTCTTTTCGTGCATGCCGTTGTATCCCTTCCATCTCATATTTGAAGGCAGCATCGGCCACCTTCTGCAGCTCCGAAAGAGACTCAAATTGGGGTGGCGCGTGCATGCTGATCGGGTAGCAGAAACCGAGGAGAGTCTTCAGCGTCTGTTTGTCCTCGGCCATGTGAATGACCGGGATCCCATCCTGGACCTCCTTCGCGATCTTGGGTTGGGGAAGAGTAAATATCAGAGAGAAGAATGGTGACGCTAATGATAGCAAGAGTTTGAAGATTCTGAAGTCGACTGGCTCCACGTCGGATGAACGTAAGATAAGGTCTGCATCAGCGTGGTGGAATGGATGCGAAGCGGTCGTTGTTTTTCCCGGAGACATCAGAACGAAGAAAAGGGGTCAAATGCGAATACCAATGGCTAATAGTGCGCCACGTCTGTCTCTCGTCATTTGGTGGGTTATCTGACGAGGGTGTGAGAATGCTACAGGATGTCATGCAGAGCCACGAGGCGAGGGTTCTGACCAAATATAGAACTCCGCCTGTCCCGGGATATAAGTTTTTGGACACGACGGTCGTCGCAAACTCGTCGGGACGACTGTTGCTCCCTGGGGTGTGCGATCAACGTCATTTACATTCTCCGAAGTCGCCATATACGAGGTTCCGGTGGTGCGGGACCAGTGGTGACATCGTGGTTCCGACAGTCCAGAAACCTGCAGTGGGCCCATAGTGCGTACCAACATTGTGGATAAGCTTTTTAATGTCGGTGTCTAATATCAGATAATTCTGGTCATCAAATCATGTTGGAGTATGCGACAAAGCTACGAAACACGCACCATTGACGCACCACCACACCATGACGGGTCCATCACTCCGCAAGGAACCGTTCGCGTGTAACAAATGAATTGCTCAAATAATGTACAAATGCCATAATGCAGAAATCCATAGTGCCCGAAAGAAATATGAGGATATAATTTAGGTTCCCGCACCAAAAGATGCAGTGAACATGCAGACAACAGAACTTAGTTGGGTTCCCCTCGATGAGCGCTGAAGCAAAGGGCCGCTCCAAGTTAAAACAACTTCGCCTATTGTGGAGGTGGAGGGTCGGAATCGGTTCCGAATTGGTCGCTTCTCCTTCGACGTTTTTGAAGAGGTAAAGTATTGCCTTCGCGGCCGCCATCAACTTCCGGAGCGGACACAGAGGGCCGCTTCTTGGACGTAGGCGAAGACAAAGGAACAGATTCACCAATAGGAATAAGGCCAGGATTCGATGCATAAGACGATAATTCCAATAGCGCAGCAACGGCCGCATCCGATGCGCGGAAATCCTCATTGCGGTGAGTTGGTGGGGAAGGTGCTCGGGCCTCCGGCACATAACTGCAGCGTTGGTATAGGGGTAAGAAGTTGGTTGCAAAATGAAATGGAGCAAGAAAACGCACTCTTCCTCGTCTAGTTGACGCTTTAGTGCGTAACACCGGGATTCGAGTTCATCTCGCTCTCGGGAAAGGCTTGAGGCCTTATCCCGAAGTATTCGGGCAAAGTCAAGGAGGCCGAGGGTGGCTGCGCCATGTAGCTCTGCGCGTCGACGCCACATCACGCATTGCGTGCGTAGGTTGCGGTTTTCCGCTCTGAGGCGTGCAAGCTCATCCTCAGGATTAGAGCTTGTGTTAGTCATTGAGTTAGATGATTCGCCTTTGGCAGAATCGATGAAGAGTCTGCGGATGCTAGGATTTATGTGAAGCCGGAGTTGCTGTGGGATGAGAGCTGGGCTGATTGGAGCTATCGACACCGATCCAATTAGTCAACTATAATGCAAAAAACAAGGACGTCGACAGACCAACAGAATATAACGAGCGGCAGACCGGGCAGGGATGAAACTGAGTGGGCGGTTTTACAGCCCGCACTGTTTTGAAAATGCATTCACTGCAAAAAATATGCCCTTGAATGGTTTATATATAAGAAAAATATGCGATGATCGCAAGAATGTTTCGTACCGCATGGAAGAGAAATGGGTGTCTTCAAGTCGTCGATGCAGATGTTACACGAGGCCATGATGGGAGGAGGCGTCTGAGATATCCCGATATTTATGGGAAAGGAAGAATCGTCTTTAAGTACCATGGCGGTGGAGGAATCGACCCTATCCGTCATCGGCACACTTCCTCTGAGACAGTGAGAGTTAATGGATCGAGAAAAAGTTCGACGGGAAGATTCTCGGTTCCCTCTATCCTGAGGGGTCTGGCAGCGGCTCTCACTCTAGCACGGTCGCGTTTGGTCCGGACTGTTCCGGGAGGGAGCATGGCTGGCGGTAACAGGAGGTAACAAACATTCTGCTAGCGTGCGCAGTTTGAACAATTTTTATGTTGAATTGGTCGGAGGTTCAGAAAGACCGTCCTAGGCTATTCCAGGTCTGGGTAACAGGGTCCCTAGCAATTTTGTGAAATTTAGAACGAATTATGTTTCGACGCCTCTAATTGGATATTAGCACAAGAAACAGACCTTCCACAGACATTGAAATGTGAAGATCTCTCGAGAATCTCGAGATGCTGTTGCACATTCTATGATGTTTGATAGAAAACAGCCACAAACAGTGATTAGATCGGTCGGCGAAGGTTTGCGACCGACATTTGTTGCCACAAGTGCCTGGGAGCCCGCCGCAGCCCGACGGATATTGATAATAAACGATATTGCATTTGCGATGTTAGGTGTCGAAGACTGGGTCTCTCTGACAAGCCTTGCAATTTGAATGAGCAATCGAACGTTCGGTTTCAACGATTACCCGCGCGAAAATGGTGGAGCATGCTAGGTGGTGGTCAACATCCGGTGTTATCATGTCCGGTAAAATTATTCTGCTTTGGGGTCGACGTTGTCAATATGTGGAGGTCATAAGAGATTATCACCGAAGGGCGGCAAATTCATGGATTAAAATATGTGGTTACGTGGCAAACGTGCAGAGCGTATTGAATTGCAACATATCAAACAAGTAAGATGCAGCAGGATGCAGCATGTCCGGTGCAACGCATCTGCAGGAATCTGAGGGGTATGCGAAATATGGTGCAACAAAGGCCGAATCGGAGAGCACCAGGAGAAGCAGGTGGGTCCTGATGCGTGTTGCCGACTGACGTGTTTTCGAATCCTTTATAAGTGTGGGGATGTTACATGTAGATTGAGCGCCAAAACTGGATTCGGCAAGTTCCGTTTAAATGTGCAGAACCGAAAATAAGGTTTCAGCCACCCGTCACGAGCTCACCAAACACGAACTAAACACTTTCTAGCAAGGTAGGCACAGCGACAAACCACCATCCTCGACAAAATGGTCAGTACGAAATCTTTTTGTCGCTATCATAGACGATGTAGAACTGATTTTACGCGATGAATTTATCAGGCCGAACCAAAAACGACACCCACCAACGTTATGAGGGAGCCTCGTATTGATAAACTTGTCATCAGTGCGTCCTTTGGCTATACTTTAACTCCCAGAAACTAATGCACTCGCAGACATCTCCGTCGGTGAATCTGGTGATCGTCTGACCCGAGCCTCCAAGGTCCTAGAACAACTCACCGGCCAAACACCCGTCACCTCAAAAGCCCGTTACACCGTCCGTACATTCGGTATCCGTCGTAACGAAAAGATCGCTGTGCACGTTACCATCCGCGGTCCCAAGGCGGAGGAAATTCTGGAGCGTGGGTTGAAGGTGAAGGAGTATGAGCTGCGCCGCAAGAACTTCTCGGAAACGGGCAACTTTGGGTTCGGTATCCAGGAGCATATCGATTTGGGTGCGAGGTATGACCCTGGTATTGGTATCTTCGGAATGGATTTCTACGTTGTAATGGGACGACCTGGCGCACGGGTGGCGAGGCGGAGGGCAAAGAAGACACGAATCGGCTTCCAACACCGTATCAAGAAGGACGACACGATGGCTTGGTTCAAGCAACGTTTCGATGGTATTATCTTGGTCAGTTGGTTTCTATTGAAGTCCTGTTGGATGTCTACTGAAGCTTGTATGATCTCCAGAAATAAACGACCATCATATATATCTCCTTCATCCTCCGTTGCCAAGCTATGATATGCACTCTATACTATATGGCATGTGTTACGTGTATGCATGAAATGTCTCTTTTCTGGCTCAATGAAAGATTTGAGAGAAAGCGGGAATAATTTGTTCGCCTTCGAAAGTGCTTTTCTCTCTATCTTTGTGCACAAGAGCATTGTGATTATCTCCCAAAAATAGATGAGCAAGTAGGGGTATCCATGGGTATAAGCTCCCCAAGGCTATGGGTATAAGGGAGTGAATAATTTATAGCTAGTCGACGTGAGCAATATTTACAGCCCTCTCCATCTGTTAATTATTTGTGAAACGCAACGTCTTCTTGGGTCCCAATAGTACTGCAGCCACAGGATGCCCATGCTTGTCCAAACGTATCGGGTTGCTCACTCGTCGATGATTTCCATCGGCTCCAAGAGAACGTCTCTTCAAGACGTGTGAATTAACGCGATTGGGCTGCCAGTCCGACTTGAATCCTGGAAGCGGCATACCCTCAAAGTCAAACATAGTGGCGTTTGAATTCTCATTGTGTCGCGGTGACCGAACGACCATCGACGATGGCCGAACTGCATTGTGGCGCGGTGATCGAACCACCATTGAGGATGGTCTTACTGTCTTGCTGCGCTCGTCGTCTTGATAGTCGAACCGTGGCGTACGAAGTGGGGATCGAACCACCAAAGACGGTGGTGTATTAGTTATAATATCTTCGTGCTCCTGCACGGATTGTAAATGGTAGTTGTGGATGGCAAGCAGAAACCGCTGACCTGCGCGGACTCATAATCTGTCTCTTCCCTCCGTTTCGTTTCAAGTTTCGCTGTAAGCTTGGCAATTTGTATTTTCATCGCCTTCCTTTTTTCCTTTTCCAAACGTGTCTAGAGACGTCCCTTGAGAAAGAGCAATATAAGAAAACGAGGAGAAAAGCCCCACCGCAGCGACATGTCGCTCCAACTGATCCTCTACATGACGCTTGTTTTTGGCGAGATCAGACACTCTTGTCTTGTAGTCTCTGAGCTCTAGATCAAGTGCCACGGCTTTGTCTTTCGCGGCCTCAGCGAATTTACAGGCGTCGTGTGCGATCCCCTCCGACTCGATTAACTGGCGCTTCAAGTGCTTCACCTCTTTCACGAGTGGCTGAGAGGCGTGGACCCTAGTTTTGAGGCCATCTCTCTCCTCCTTCACCTTGCTGACCTTCTCCTGCAGCTTGGATATCACTTCCTTCTGAGTGGCGATTTCGGTGAAGACGGGGATGATACGTTCGTTAAGATCTTCCATGGCTTTGAGTAATTTGGCCTAGAACCCCAAGAAGTTAAGCGTGTATTCATTTGAGGTTGGTGAGAATCCCATGAGGCGTACCGTCAACTCCTCATTCCCTTGAGCTCGTAAAGCTGCTCTCTCCAACTTCTCTTTCGCTTTGGAAACACTCCTGAGTTCCGCCGTGTGGTCTATGCGATTGAGCCCATCGACAACGCTCATTCCATATGATACACCGGGGTCAACAAACTCCAAAAATATACGATGCGCATCGCGCTGGTTGATACGGCTACGGCACATGGGACATATTCGAGTATCTTGAGCAAACATATGATCAACACATGTATCGCAAAAGCCATGTCCTGTAAATGACACGTTATTCCTTTGAGGATGTCATAGTCAACTGACCGCATACCGCAGGTGAAAACGCGGAATTTTTGAAGAGGAAAGTCCGAGATACATGTATAGCAGCGCGCTTCCGCCATTTTTTAGTAGTGGGCGAGGAAGAGGGGTAGCAGTGGCGAAGAAGTGAGCCAATAGCCCATGGGCGTTGACGAAATGACACAAAAGACGTCGTACACGCGCTATGTGGTCGTATTTGCTTTTGGCACGCGATTTACACAATGCGTTCACGTTTCTTACCTCCTCTGCCAATCCTCTGCTGCGCTGATCAAAACGGACGAAGTCACGCGATGGTAGCAGGCTGCAGCAACAAGGGATCGCCAAAGCGAGCCCCCAGATTTTATAGGCTAGCACATAGGAGGCGCTGCCATACAAATATGTATAGTACTTACAGTGTCTTTCACAGCTGTTTGCAGTCGTGAATGTTAAATTTCGTATTTGCTTCTGTTGTACCTGTTACCCTCAGGGTTTTTTTGTCACGCTGATCTTGAGGGATCTTGAGTGAACTGGCCTCCGACCTCACTCTAGCCCTTGCCCATGGCACCTCAAGTCTCTGATGAAATGTGTGCAAACATAATCATCTGGCATGAAGAGAAATCCCTTTCTCCTCACAAAATCACTGACCTTATGCATGACAAAAAAACCCTGAGTATCAGGTACAACAGAAGCAAACACAAAATTTAATGATTCACGACTGCAAACAGCTGTGAAAGACACTGTAAGTAGTAGGCTACTACTCATCAGTAAGTACTTATTAGGGTAGCCCAACTTGCAGTCCAACTTTGATCCCAACTTTGCAAAGTTGGAAGTCTGAAGTTGGGCTGTTTTTTCTCAAGTTGGGACCCAAATCAATGTCAGAATGAAATATTGTGTTTGTACTCATAAGTACAAACAATATGTATGTCTCCGAATCCTAGACAAGGAGACTACATCTCCTTGTCCTTCAAATTATTGTTCTGATGTGGTAAAAAGAGTCCCTCAACCTCAGTGAATTTTTTGAATTTTTTCGATGGTTTTTTCTTCAACTTTGCGATGGCTGACACTCCCCAATCCTCTCAAACTGCTGCTACTGCTGGAAGCTCTCAGACAGCTGCTACACCTCTTTCTCAGACAGCTGCTACACCTGTTTCTCAGACAGCATCTACACTTAACTCTTTTGTTGCAGCCCCCTGTGTCCCTCATACCCATACTTGACCGGCTATCATTACAATGCTTAAGAACCTTCCTCTGCTATCTGTTCTCCAGATGAATAAAGACATCAAAGAAAAAAATGCAGTGAGGTCTTGGAAGACCTTCAACCACATCTCAGACCCTACTGTCCATACAGAGTCTGGATCTAATGATGCTTCTCTGATTTCTCTTGATGAGGCTGATTTGAATCACTTCTGCATCCCTTCTTTTATGGATTCATTCCCTAACTTGATCTATGCTAAACTTGCTAAATGGATTGCTGATGAGGAGATCAAAGAAAAGCTGAAAGTCAAGAGGAAGACTAATGACAACATTAAGCTATCTGCCAAAGAGGCTAGGATTGCAAAGTGGTGCTGCATGAACAGGCAAAAAATGGTGCCTTGGGTTATTGGGGTCCCATGGCAGGCTACCTTCCCTCAGAGTCTCTTTGACACCAAACTTTGCATTGCTGTAGCTCTGCCCTTCTTTCTTAATAAGAATCTCAACATCTTGAATGTTGAGGCCTCTACTTTACCAACAACGAAGACTAATCCAAATCCTGGTGAGATGAAGGGTACTGTCATTCTTGATATCGAGAAACTCTCTGTGCACTTTGGGAAGGAACTCTCCTTGTCTTCCAGTCAGTGGATAGAGGCTGCTGGTAACATGTATCTTTTCCAGAAAGAATGTGACGAAGAAGGGACTGGAGAGGCTCATAGCAATTGGTATAATGACCATTTTTGCTTCTACACTGCCCAGGGTACTAAAGACAATCTCTACAATAGTGTTTAAAAGTCCAGTCCAGTCTGGTTTTTTGATGCCCCAGGGATTAGACCGTAACCGACACTGGTCTGCCTTTTTCCCAAAAGTCAAAAGACTGAACCAGACCACAAAAAACTGCAGACCACAGTTTTTTGCAATCTGTAGACCAGTCTTGGTCCTCTTTGGTTTTAACCAGTTTAAGACCAGTCTTTTGGCCAATATTTTACATCTTCAACTATATCTTTGTCAGTTTTGGACCAATTAATACGTTCTTGGGTGCGTTTTGAAGGGTATTTAGTGGGCTACAAAAGACTGGTTCACTTAAACTGGTCTTTTTGCAGTCTTTACTTCTCAAAAATGAAAAGACCAGACCACAGGTCCAGTTTTTTGCAGTCTTGGTCTGGTCTGGTTATGGTCTTTTTCCAGTCCCGAGACTGGACTTCCAAACACTACTCTACGATACCTGGAAGTCTGATGAGCTGAAGTTCTGTTAGGAACATTGGGCAAAATATGGTGAATTTGACACTTCCTGCTACTACCAGGCCTACAAGCTCTCCAAGAAGCAGCATGAAATGATGGCAGACATTTGTGGGATGATTGTGTCTGAGCCCACCAAGACTCATTTCAGTGCAACACTTGGAAAACTCACATCATGACTCACCCCTCACTCTTCTCAGACACGTCCCTCCCAGTCCTTTTCATCAGGCAGTGGCAAGTCTTCCTCCTTGACACCTGACTGCCTCATCTGTGCTGAGTGAGGCCACAACACAACCCAACATGCCAATAGCACCATACTCATCAAGTTCAAAGCTGATGGCAAGGCAGTATGGTCAAAGTACAGTGACCACAACCTCCTCAGTCCCGACAACCACATCATTTGTATCAGCTGGAACCTTAGAGGCGACTGTGGGCACCTATGTTCTTGTTGAGGATTAGAACCCTATGCTACGTACCCTCTTTATCCCTATTTACCAACTCCTTCATTTACTTCTGTACTTACAATTTTCTTGCTACTTCTGTACCTCGCACCTCAGTCGTTTACCACTATGTGTAACCGCCTGAGGTGTGTATTCTTTTACTTATATATCTTCCAATACTTTACTTACTATCTCTACCTTAGCTACCACTAACGGTCTTATCCTAACAGGTTATGGGCCCTGCATGCTCCTAAATTATCAGAAGATTATTGGTTACACACATATCCCCTCAACTCAATACAAAAGACTTATTACCATGTCTGGAAGTCACAATATTTCGATTCCTTTCTCCTTGCCCAAGGATCAGCACTGCTGTGGATATGAAAACTTCGCGAGCTGGAAAACACTTATGATCGCTCATGGGAAACCCCAAGGATACCTAAAATACTGGGAGAACAGAGGTCTTTACACTCTCTGGTGTATTCCATATGGAATCCATATGGAATGGGTGGATTCCACCATCATTCCATGGATTCCATATGGAATATTTTTATGTGAGTCCCCAGCTATTTTTTTATTCCATAGTCACTATGGATTCCATATGATTCCATATGGAATATGGATGGAATGATGGATTCCATGGACTATTCCAGGTGGATTCCATCTGGATTCCAGCCATAGATTAATTAATGACCATTATACCATTATAATACAGTATTTATAATGTCCTTATTATATTTAGGTAAAAATTAAATTTGACACTTAAGAGGATTGAACCCTCAACTATGTCAGCAATGGCAGTGCTCAAGTCAACTGAGCCATGCAGACATTATTACATGGTAAACTAAAGGTCTATGTATACCGCTCTCCATCACATGGCATCGCAAACGTGACAGCTTTGGCTGGAACATTGCCACATCATTTCTTCCCTCCCACCACCACCATCACCATCCACCACCACTGTCTCAAACCACCACCGCTCATGACAATGACGATGCAGACGATGCACGTTGCCATGCCCAGGTAAGCAGCAACCCCTCCCACCTCCCCTTTTGACCAAAACAACGCCCAGCAACCACCCGTGGCCCACGAACAGCAAAACAAAGCCCACCAGCCACCACCTGGTGCCCACAAACGGTGACCCAGCTAGTGATGCTGTGGTCAGGTTCCAAACCAAAGTTCGAACCCAAACCTTGCAGGACCGGACCAAGATTTGGTCTGAAATTCAACAGTTAGGGGGGACCAGACCATTTGTCCAGTCCCAAGTTCCTTTGGAGGGGGCACTATGTGAACGTGTTCAGACCGGTCCAAACTGGGTGCTGAAGTACCAAGTTCAATCAGTGACATTCAAACTCCACGAACCTACTTCATGTCAACACACACACATCGTCAAAGCCAGTCTCGACTCTATGCAAGCCAGTGTCGCTGCCAAGATATTCGGCCTTTCCGTCCATTTCAACTTTCTTGCTCTCATCACATGCACGCCTCCCATTTCCTTTGATGTTCTGATCCCCTGGAATGTACAAGGTCCATATTCTTGAACAAGTCCTGATAGGTAAATTTCCTCGACTACTGAGCGTTGATATGCATTGCACGGGGATGACTGTGAAAGTGCGAAACACGCAAACAAGGATCAAGCGCATCGGGAAAACCCTAAACACCTTAACACTCACACACACACACTCACACACACACACACACACATGATCACAATCTCAGTGCACGAGTTCGAGGGCCTTTGGTATTAAGAAATACCACTTTTGTCTTCTTAGGTTTAAGTCTCAAGAGTTTTCGTCTCAAAATGGGGTTTTATTATTGGGTGTGGTATTAGAATAGTTCAATAGAACAAAGTATGTCTTTCGGGGAACCTGGTTGCTCAAATGTAAAGTTCTTGAACACAGTTTTCTTTATTGACATGAAACACAGATTTATCAGACTTTTATAACTCCCTTGAGCTTTTTATTATGTCACTACGCTCCAAAACTGGTGATACAAGTACGCTGTCTCGTCTAAATGATACTGTGCTTAAAACCTCTTATTCAAGTCTCCAAGTAAGTTGACTCCCAAGCATGCTGGCTTCATTCACACTGTACTTTTCTGACCATGAAGAAATCTCCTTTAATTGATTACAACTGTCCACCTCCTAAGTCTCTACTTGGAGTGCAACTAGCTGGTCAACGGGGGACGATTTCTTTCTTTTGACCTGCCAGTGCACTCCTTATATACTCCAAAACCCCTATCTACGCTTTTACATGTGTTTTCTATGGTTATGTATTGGTCCGAAATACAAATAGCTTTTTAATGATCGTGTGGTATAGTTTATAGTGTCTCTCTTGTGGTACACTACAGTTTTTGTAGTGTTGGTATCTTTTCTTTGTCAATCGCATCAGTGTTTGATGTGTATGCAGAACAATCCGGTTTTAATTATATCTAGTCCAGACCGGTTCCGCATGCTTCTTTATCATGGGCTCGGCTACTAATTTGACATATCATGTCATTTCAGTGATGGGCGTGCTGATGTGTTTGATATGTATGCAGACACACTGCTGGTTCTTTATTTCCGGAGGTCGTTAATTTAAAATACCTTGGCACGGTTTCTGTTATCATATGGAGATCAGATGGCACTCCAAAGAGCTTCAAATGACTTTCTTAATTATCAGGGGGTCTCCAGGATGGATTACCTAATGTCTTTCCAGGTTTGCGCATCACATGTCTTGGACGATATGACACATCACTCTTTGTGAAGTGTTCACTCTGAACTTCTCGCATAGCTGAAGCCAAGAGGGAAGGAGGAGGCAAGAATGGGTGGATCTGGGATCAACACCCATAAGTGAGCAATGAGCAGTTACAAGATACTCAGCTGGCCCAACATGATTATGCATACTGTAGGAAGTACAGATATACAAAGCACTACATGTAGTGCAAGAGGATGGCAAGACTGCTGACAAGATGGTGGTTCAAGACAAAAGATCAATATATTATGTAAGATATCCAAATCTAGCTATATACCACTGTTTGACTATGGCCTCTGGGCATTCCCTTCCAATCCTATATCACAAAGCCCCCCAATGTCCAGAGGGCATGTAAGGAAAACAATGGTGGGGAAGAATAATAGAACAGAAATCCTCTTGCCCCCCAGAGTGAATATCAGGACAAAATGAAACCAAAAGGTAGCAAAGCAAAGAAGATGAATAAAAGAAAGAAAAATTTGGCCCCAAATAATTTCCTATCTGGAAAGCTGGTCACTGCAAGCTCCCAGCTTAACCCAGAAATACCCATATGATCCTCCCATTCTCTCTTCAGTGATGTATAATCATGAGTACTGGGAAACCATGCAAGTGGATGGCTTCCAGGTCATCCATCCCAACTCCATTGCCTTTCCCCATCAAGATGGTGTAGCATGCTTCCATCATACTTGTGGTCTGGGTATAAGGCATGTATAGTGTGATAGAGGCTTGCACCTCTCCACTAGGGAATGTCACGGGTTTGTAAACCTGTGCGGGTTGATGCCACAGGTTTGTATGGGTACGGGTCCAGGTTGGGGCCTAGTAACCCTCTCCTAACCCGTACCCATGCTGTGGGCATGGCAGGTTTTGGCACGTGAATGTTCTTTCAACCTCAACGGGTATTCGGCACTACCCAGAGAATATTGCCAATTGCATGGCAATGCAAATGGCAGACCTTCCTACTGTACAGTACCTGTGGCGTTGGTCCAATAAAAAAAAAATTGTGTTGCTAAAAAAATCCACATCTGTCTAAGCCACATCCCAGAACCACATCCCACATCCCGATCCTATGCCGACAAATTCTCCTGAGGCCTCTGGCCCTCGTAAACGTAAACTTTCAGCGAAGGTGACTACTAATGGTGACCCTGAGGTGGAACGAAAGAAGAAGAGATTAGAAGCGAAGGAACAGAGCACGAAACCGGCACCTACCCAAAAGCACTTGCAGACTACAGTTGCAGACAAACAAAGTCATCAAATTTGATAACTTGAGAACCAGAATTTTTATCAAAATTCTGACTTCAGATTCAGATTCAGAGACCTCGAAACTGTTCAAAAAAGGTGTTCCCTTAATTTTCCCACGCGTTTTTGGTTTGGCCAAATTTTTGGGTGTTTTCAGTGCACCCAAAAGTCTTCAGAGTCGGCCATCTTTGGATCAATTCTGTGCAATTTATAACCCTGGTGCAGTAGATACGTGAAAAAATGAACCAGGGTCCATTTATATCTTTTTCCGGGGCACCTTGACCGGAAAGGGTATGCCCACGTGACAGTTTTAGCAAAATTCCCACCATCAAAGACATCAATATTTCAGGGAGACTTTGATGAAATCAAAGAGAGGAAACAAAAAGGAGTCGATTGGCATATTTTTCGTATTTTTAGCTATTTTTTCAGGCACTGGCCAAATTTTTGGGGTATAAAACCCTTATATCGTCATTTCTGGGAATTCTGCTCATTGGAATTGATCAAGGAGATCAATAGGAACCCATTTATACCATTATCTACCAATTCCAATGTTTTTCGGAGTCCCAAAAAATAGGTCAATAAATTTGTTGACTTTGTTTGTCCGCAACTGTACAACAAAGGCAGCCGCGAAACCAGCCCCACGACCATGACACCCCTCCATTGAGGTTGAGGAGGTTGAGGATGAGTCTGCTAACTGCACTTCCATCCCACCTCGCAATCCACAACACATCCTGGAGGCCGCCGATGGGAGTGACGATGATGTTGACACCCCAGCACCACCTCGGAAATCCAAGAAGAAACCTGTGGTTACGAAACGGCGCCCCTCCGTTGAGCTCAAGGACATTTACGATGATGAGGTGGATTGACATACCTCTGTCCCACCTCGCAATCCACAACACATCCTGGAGGCCGCCAATGGGAGCGATGATGATGAGGAAGCTCCTGTCCCTGATATAAACGAGGAGCATGAGGCACCTGAAGAAAGTGATGAGGCTGAATTGGGTATGTACTTGATCATCGTGTCATATCCTGAACTGACCATCAGTATGTAGAGCGCCTGTCTAAGGATTGGACTTCACCTATCTACGTCTTTTTCAGGATGTCACCTCACATTGACTACATGGATGGCCGTCGTGCTCACGTATTTGAATGTGCAGCTGGGAGATGTCGAGGTAAGAATGGAAGGGTTGTTTGTTGATATTTAGACAAGGGCGATGCAAAGTCAACAAGTGGCCTGCATCGTCATGCAACCAAATGTTGGGGTGCTGAAACCGTGAAGTCGGCAGATGGTACCAAGGATTTAGAAGCTGCGCATGCAATCTTGTTGAAGACGAAGTTGCATGATGGGACGATTATGGCCGAGTTCGAACATATTGGGAAAGGCAAGGTCACCTATTCACACTGTCAGCATACTTCAACTGAAGCAAGGTAAGCAACAAACCTTTAAACGACACTTTTCACCTGACTTCCTGTGCCACTGTAGGGCTGAAATTGTCTGTTGGGTGTCCGAGAATAAGCGGCCCTTCAAGATCGTAACCGATCGAGGTTTCCGCAGCCTCATGAAAACCGGACAGCCTGATTACCACCTTCCCTCTGCTGAAACTTCGTCCCGCAATGCACAGGTCGTGTTCGTCAATGTCCGAAGACACATCGCCAATATGTTACAAGTAAGTCATAATTGAGTATTCCTCATTGCGAACTCACCTCAAAAACCACTACAGGAACACATAGGGGCACTAAGCTTCGCAACCGATGCATGGACATCCCCCAACCACAAGGCATACGTGGCCGTGACAGTTCATTTCGAAAACAAAGGCGTCCCTGTGGCAATGCTTCTCGACATCGTGGAAGTTGTGCGCTCGCATTCTGGCCTCAATTTGGTGGCTGCATTTGTGAAGGTTCTTGAAGATTTCGGGATTGAAGACAAGGTGAGCAAAGAATCTGGTGGAGAGGGTGTAAATAACTCACCAAATACATCAAGATCCTCTCGATCACCTGCGATAATGCCTCGAACAATGACAAAATGATTGACGAACTTGTCAACTTGCTTGACAACTTCCCAGGTCCTGCAAATCAAACACGATGTTTCCTACACATCCTAAACCTCATGGTAAAGAGCATCATCCAACAATTTGACTTACCCAAATCCAAGAAAATGTCAGATGACAAGGACGAAGATGATCCTATGCTGGATGCAGCTACAACAGAGCTTTTGAAGCTTGCTGGTGATATCGATCTTGAGGAACATATCACCGCGAGCACTAGTGATGACGTCGAAGCGGCTGATGATGAGGAGGAGGGATGGGTTGACGAACACGAGGATATGACTGAGGAGGATTTGAAGGAGTTGGTGGCCAGCATGCAGCCTGTCCGATTGTTGTTGACAAAGGTAACAACATGAATTATATTTTGTTTTATTATCTAATGTTTGTGGTCAGCTGCAAAAGGTTGCGTTTGCAATCAAAAACTCAACAACCATTGTTCACCCTTGGCTGTAGTCCTATGCCTTATATTCTGCAAGAATGCACTTTATTCATTTCCATAGGGAGTGCATTTGACCACTTGGTCAGGATGTGGGTTAATGCACAGCTTGCTGTAGGGTGGGTGGGGGCGGTATTGTTGATATTATATAGGTACATATTTATTATTTAATTCTGAGGAGACATTTATGTCTTACAGCTTTGTTTCTCCTAGAAAGAACACCTGAAACTTTACCATATATATATTTGATGATGTTCTGACACTCCTAAATAGTTTCCCTCTGTCAAATCTGACGGAAATAGGCTGGATGCAACAAATCCATTTCGGATGACCCTAGGCCTTCTGATGCCTTTGGTACACAATTGTCAACAATGCATAGTTTTAGTTCTGAGGAGATATGTACGTCCTACAGCTTTGTTTTTCCTAGAAACGGCCTCTGAAACCTCACCAAATATATGCTTGATATTGTTCAGACCACCTCAGATAGTTTCCCTGTGTCGAATCAGACCGAAATGGCTGGATGCAATAAACCCCTTTTGGATGACATTGGCCCATAGACGCCATTGGTACACAGATGTAAACAATGATGAAAAAACTTGAAAAAAGGCTAGCTACTCTACGACACGATATAAAGAGAAAAAAAAATGGTAAAAAGAATCTAGTACAGAATCTGCTAATATACATTCAAAAAAAAGACAGGACATCAGCTCTCAACGACCTCACGAAAAAAGAGTATGCCCTGCAGCAATTCAGCGTCACCCCCTCGCTGTACCCCCACATCGTCACCACACATTGTTATCGTCCAGCGTCGTGATCATGTCGTTATTGTCTTGCGTCGCAGTCGTCCTGCGTCATTACTGTGTCGTTGTTGTCCTGGACATCATAGCACCGTCATTGTCATCCCATTTTCCTTGTCTCATTTCCTCGTTGCTGTCGGTTGTCATTGTCGCGTTGCCGTTGTCAGGTGTCGTTGTCCGGTGTCGTTGTCTGGTGTCGTCATCCCGTGTCGTCGTTGACACGTTGTCATGTTGGCCATCCGTCATTGTATTGTGTCGGTCCGATGACGTTTGGTTGCCACATTGCTGTCGGCGACGTGGCACCTGGGTTGTGAGTGTGAATATGGAATGGGAGGGAGGGTTATGTTAGCTCACCTCGGTTGGTGATGCTGGTGATGGGCACTCGTCGCCCTGTGTGGAGGAGTGAATCATTGTCGTTCTCAGGTCTTTGTCCTGAAAGCCGACGTCGCCATGGCACGTCTAATTGGACCATTGCTCTTTGGTGGTGGATAATCCGTTCAGTACGAGGGGGTGCTCCTGTAGGATAGCCTCACCATTCACTAGCGTACATCCCAAGGCCCTTCCCTTCGGAATTCCGAATGTGTAGTTAGTTTTCAATAGAATTGTGGGCGCTGGTCGCCATCCGGGGGTGGTGGGCACTCGCGGCACGTTGTTGCTCGTTGATTGTGGTGGTAGTGGGCGGTTGCCGTCAATGGTGGAGGGTGATAATGGTGGAGCATCGTCGGCGTTGGGTCTTGGTGATGGGCGTCATCGTCCTAAAAGTCGACGTCGACGTGGCACGCCCAGATTGACCGTTGGCGTACCACGTCAGGCAATTGGTGGCTGGAAATGGGGTGATCTGAAGGAAAAACTCACCGTAATAAGTTCGCGTCTAGCATCCCCCCCCTTTCTCCTGTCCCACTGTTGTCTGATCTTTTCGACGGATAGGAGGAAGCCCGGCCTGGGGCGCGCCTTGAAGCCTGAGGGGTCGTATCCGCCTGCTGAGGGAGGTGGGAAAGAAGCGTTGAGTATGTTGTGGTCGTCATATGAGTATTTGGACTCTATTGGCCAGAGGACGGGGTTTGATGGGGATTGAACTGGAAGGGTGACTTTGTTCCTTTGATCTGGCAGTGTATGTATGATCCACGGCAAGCCAATTGTTCAAGGCAGGCAGTGGGTCTGAGTGAGACGGACTCCAGGAGGACCGGGCTGTGCGGCGGGTGGAAAAAGGTGTCAGGCCATGAGGGCGTGATGGAAATGTGTCCTGATGGACAGTATGAGCTACGGTCATAAGTATGGGATAGGACTTACAGATGATTCAGATCGTAGGCGTGAAGACGAGAGGATGATGTTGATCAAGATGGACATACATGGTGTGCTCAACCACGCATCAACGGCGCTCGGAAAACGCCGAGCACTGATGGCGAGCTGCGCAAGTCCCTCCTGCGTTCATTATTGAGAAGAAAAAAATATAGAAAAATGTTTTTAGAGGTTCTGAGGAGTAGGATTAACATTTAAGATAGGTGGCAATATGTATTCAACTGGCGGGAAGTAAAAGTCGTAAGAAGTCCAATCTCACAAATGAGATTCCGGCACTTTCAATTGCTTTATTGTGACCCACTGCATCTATCCCATCCACCTGTATCTCCACAATCTTCTGATTTCCATAAAACTTTGGGAATACATTCAGTTTTTCATTCTGAAGATATCTATGGAGTTTTATGGCCATTGGATGGTTTAAGTGGACACAGTGTAGTTAAAGTCTGAAGAAACACACTCTATTCAATGCCTTTCACAACAAAACCTTCATTATCAAAGTGAATACAGTACTCACAAATTTTATATAAACACCCACCTTCAGCTAAGAAGAGGTAAATCAGATTCACTCAAAATTAGGCAAGCAGAGCAAGATTTCCCAACACAATTCAATGTTTTGAAACCCTCCCAAAAGTCAAAAAAGTTGGAACAAGACTTTCAGGTGTGTTCTTTCACTCAAAATTTGACACTGCCTGTCCTAAAATTCCTTTACTTATGCACTGAATGCTGGTAGGCTATAGCTGGCATGTATTAGTTTACAAGTTGCTGGAATGATATGTTTTTGACATTTACAGACAGGGACACTCCTTTTCTACAATTTTTATCCAACTTCTGATAAGGGAGCAAGTCCAATGTTGTAAATTCAACATACTGATATGTATTACCAATGTCAGGGTAGTGTTCCCTTCCTCTCCTGGCTCAATTTCAGTTGTTTTTCCGATGTTTTTTTGAGAACTTTGCATCTGTTTGTCTACAGCTTCAAACGCGTCATCCAAGTTCACTCTGTTGCATCCATCCACTTGCGAGGGCGCCGTGAATGTAAAACATAAAAAATTGGATTCTGTTCTACTTTAAGAGTACTAAAATGTATATTGTTCATTAGATACAAGTGTAGAGGATGAATAACCATGCCTTTTGAAGATCTGGGCACTAGAGCAGAAACTATTTGTACTTGTGTTGCAACACCTTTGGGAATGTCATCCAGCTGGAACCTGAGCCATCCATCCGAAAGGCTGCTGATTTGAAATACAAAATACATACTATATGATGGAAACCAATTGCAACTGAAGAAATATGGAGTTAGTTCTGTCATTAACTTGAATGGCGCCCTTCAGGGCTACATTTGTTGACATTTGTTTGTTACCTAGAAGGATCAAGGAACAAAGGTCATCCGGAACATGACTTGCGCATCCATCATCTCCACATCTCTAATTGAGGCGGAATTTTTTTGAAAAAATCGGAAATATATTTCTAGATTACTTGGTAGCCTTGAGTAGCTGTAACACAAGTTTTGATGGAGAAAACTGAGAATCATAACAATTGGAATATTCTGGTGAAATGCAGCTTTTTTGGAAGAAGTATGAGATGGAAAAACATATGTGGATGCTTTTTTGGCAAGAAAAACATACACAGAATACAAGAAAACATACCAGTCAACAATGCTGATCCAGGATATACCATTTCCAAGAATTTTCAATCATAAAACATATCTGGGCTATATTTAGATCTGTCCAACCCTGGAAAAAACATATTTGGATGCTCTTTGGGCAAAAAGAAAACATCCACAGAATACAGGAAAACATACCAGTCATCAATGCTGATCCAGGATGAGATTTTTGAATCATCAAACATATCTGAGCTATATTTAGATTTGTAATAAATTACAAACATTCTGGATCTCAAGTAAAAACATATCTGGATGCTCTTTAGGTAGAAAAAACATACAGAAAACATATCAGTGATCCAGAATATCCCATTTCTGAGAATTTTTAATCATGAAACACATGTGAGCTATATTTAGATTTGTAATAAATCACAAACATATCAGACTAAAAATAGATGCTGTAGAACAATATTATAAGCAGAAAACCTATTCTAAGGGTATATTTTATTATAGGTACAATGGTTTTTATTTTTGAAAGGCTTTTTTTCAAATATCCCAATGTTCCACAGCCCATGGCATTTTGGGCCAGTGGCCAAATGCACACCCTATGGAAATGAATAAGGTGGAACATTCCAGGTCAATTTGGTCTAAAACTACAGCCTGGGCTGCATTGTTCTACCCCAATGGTTCACAGTTCTTCAAGATCTCGAACTCTCTGAACGGATGATGCCCTGCGATGTCACCACCCGATGGAACTTGACCTTCGACATGCTTGACTTCGCTGTCGAGCACATTGCCGCCATCAACACCATCACTGGTGATCGTGATATGAAGCTGAGGCAGTATGAGCTGAGCGAGGACGAGTGGGATGTTGCACGCCAGCTTCGGGATGTTCTTGAGGTGTGTATTCTATTGACTATTCTTAAACTTGGTTGATCATTCTACATCATTAGATTTTCAAAGACGCGACATTGTTCTTTTCCCAAGGAACACCCAGCATCACCACTGTCATACCAGCTATGGACCACATTGACGAACACCTCGCCACAGCCACTATCGATAACAAATACCCTCTGGCGATCAAGGCAGCCCTTGCAATCAGCAAAAAAACCCTCAACCGCTACTATGACAAAACCGATCATTCTGAGGTGTTTAGGATCACGATGGGTACATATCTTATTACTCTCTTGTTTTCTCCTTCTTACCCATGGCTAGTATTACACCCTCGTCACAAGCTTCAATACTTCAAAAATGCAGGATGGCAGGACGAGTGGATCGACAGAGCAGAGGAAATTGTACATACGGAATTCGACCTATCATATGGATCCATAGAGGCCACCTTGGCAGAGACTCGACTTCCTAAATTGAAGGTACGTGTTTTGACATTGTCATCCTTATAAAGTCTACCATTTACTATAGGTTGCATCGTCCAAGTCTAAAAACATCTTCGATAACCTACCTTCCCTCCAAGCACCCAAACCAGCAGAGTTGCATGGTGAATTGGATAAGTTTCTGAGCACTGACCCCAAGCACGTCACCGATGCCCTAGCCTGGTGGTGGAAGAACAGAGGCGCCTATCCTCGTCTTCATCAGATGGCGTTA